CTCTTCCCTTTTGCCATTGTTTAAACTCCTCTCCTCTCCTCTCGCTCGTCCGTCCTGGACCGAATTCGCCAAAGTTCAACGGGTCATCTTTCTTCCTCTTTCCAATTTCCTTGTTTCGCATCCCTCTGCAAAGAAGGGGGTCCGGTCTGTCTATCTTTGCTGTCGTGTGGGCTCTCGTGAAGGAGCCCTCGAGAAACGAAGCGCATTACTGTATTTATTGGCTGTGGCGTTGCGTGTCAACCAGAAAAGTGTCTGTTTTGGCTGCAGATGTAGCTGCGATTGTTATTCTAGGTGGATACGCACGGCTGATTGCTTGCTCCTTCAAAACGTCACTGGCTAATTAGACGGGTCGGCAACAGATGCCGTGTTGCGCGGGACACCTGGGTACTTTTGTCGGAACTTTCTCGCATCCCATTCCCACTCCGCGTGCTGTTTCCAGCTCATAGTTATGAGTATACTCTCGCAGCAAGGCGTTTATCATGTACTTCGTAACTATGCAATCCTCACGGCCCGGAATTCCGCCCGGAAATAACTAAGACACCCCTTGGTAATGGGGTAGGGACCCGACGCCCGCCCTCTGTTTCTCTTGTCCCTCTGCTTTATTTTGTGTTTTTGACGGATCAGTGCCAAAATCAGACACCCAAAGTTTCCCTATCGACTTCAATCATTCGTTTGTTTCTGTTCCGTTCTTGAATTCCGTTTCTGTTGCGACTTGGCGCGCTGGCCGCTTGTTTCTATACACCGAGACCCTATTGACGTTGACATAGCTCCCTACCATGGGTGTTAATTCTCACCAGTCTTCGGCTGCCCCATTCGCTGCGGATGAATCCACAACCAGCTCAGTACAACTACCTGCAACTGAGCCCGAAACTTTATTACCACAAGACGATGCGCCGCTGGTATATTCTTATCCTATACTACAACGAGCTATTGATTGTAATATATCCCTAGAATCGTGCCGCCCTGCCGAACAGAGAGATTGCGCTCTGGCGCCGGATATTAGGCCAGAAAGCAACCGGCGATACTCTCCAACATGAGCCGCTACCCATCACGAACCTGAATGAGAATATCGTTGGGTGGGACGGCGAGCAGGATCCCGCTATGCCTTTCAACTTCTCGGCAACCCAGAAATGGACTTGGGTCTGGCTTCTCTCAGCCGTAACGTTCGTCACGCCGTTTTCATCGTCGATCCTCTCCCCAGCAATTCACCAGCTGCTCTTAGAATTTGGCGTTGGAAGTGCAACTGTCGGCTCCATGACAGTGAGCATCTTCCTTCTGGGGTATGCTATTGGGCCCATCTTCATCGCGCCGTTGTCCGAAATCTATGGAAGACATCCAGTCTTGATTATTTTCAATTCCTTCTTCTGCGTTTGGCAAATCGGATGTGCCCTTGCACCAAATATTGAAACCCTGATTATTGCACGTTTCTTCAGCGGCCTTGGTGGTGCCGCCTGTTTGGTATGTCTGTAAAACCTGCTGCTCATAAGTAGTTGCATATTCCTATCGTCGAATATTTGACTGATATGGTGTTCAAGACCCTTGGAGGCAGTATCATTGGAGACCTGTTTCGCCCAGAGCAGCGAGGCTTTGCTATTGGAATCTGGAATATTGGTCCATTACTCGGTAAGAGACACTCATTCGCCGCGGCAACCAAGAGAAAAGAAAAGGAGATTCCCAATTGCTAGTGCTAACAATCCCCCACCCGAAAGGCCCTAGTATTGGTCCATTACTAGGAGGTTTTGTCACGAAAACTATTGGCTGGCGTTGGGACTTTTGGATTGTCCTCATTCTTGCAGTGCCAGTCACGGTCTTGACAGCCCTGCTGACAAAAGAAACCAGCCACAAAGTGCTCATGCATCGGAAAACCATGCGTCTTCGAAAAGAGCTCAACGTTCCGATCCTTAAAAGCTGCTATGACCACTCAGATGAAAAATCGGCATTGGAAGCCATTTGCACCGGACTCGTGCGTCCGATTAAGATGCTGGTCTTCTCACCACTAGTGTTCTTTTTATCCCTCTACATTGCCTTTGTGTTCGGTGTTGTGTATCTACTTTACACGACCATCCCATCCGTCTTCATGGAACAGTATGCATTTGATACAGATCATATTGGACTGATCTACCTTGCCCTCGGACTCGGAAATATCCTTGGTTGGCTCGTCAATACCTTGTTTTCAGACAGGGTCGTTGTCAAGCTATCACTGGCTAATAAAGGAGTATTTGAGCCCGAAATGCGTCTTTTAACCAGCGTCTATTTTGGCATATTCCTTCCCGTCACATTGTTCTGGTATGGATGGAGTGCATACTACAATGTCCACGTTGCCTCCACTATCATCTCCCTCATTCCATACGGATTTGGTATCATGGGTTTGTTCTTGCCCCTCACCACCTACATTGTCGATTGCTACCCATTGTATGCCGCGTCTGCTATTGCTGCAAATGTCATACTTCGCAGTGTTGTTGGTGCTTTCCTTCCACTTGCTGGTCCTCCAATGTATGCCTCGCTTGGACTTGGTTGGGGCAATTCGCTATTGGGATTCATTTGTGTCATCATGATACCTATCCCACTGGTCTTTTACAAATTTGGCGCTAAGCTAAGGAAAGTGCGCAAGCTTAAAATTTGAGTATCATATGAGTTATTTTATTGAGATAATAAAGTAATCGTATTGACAATGGCGGCAATTGCTACTGCATCGGCCGCCGCGGTCAATCGAAGGGTTTAGGCTAACTCTGACAATGCGGGATCCTCCGACGAGACTGATCAGTCAAGTTAGATGCACAAAAAGTACTTCATTGCAGAGGGGTTTATGAAGGTGATTGCCGCTTCACAAGAAAGTTTTCAGAAGCACTGGAAAGCTCCGCTCCTCGAATGGCCAGCCATGGTCGCACGCGCAACAGGCGGTAACGTCGCGTAGCGCTGGCGAGGCCGCTGTCGTGCCTGAGCGAGTAGCAGCAGCCTCCTAGATGGGTAGGTAGGTACCTAGTTAGGTAGGGACGAAGAGGTACAGTAGTCCTGTCGCCATTGCTCATGGGGCAAAGACCATGGCGCAACAGATAAGCCAGCACAAGTTGACAGCAGAGTGCTTCTCCGAAAAAAAAAATCAGACTACCCGCCCTTCTGAGCTTAGCGTGGCTTACCTTTGCTCATAGCCTTGCGATGCGTCATTGGCTCTCCAACCGCAGCTGGGTCCAGAAAAGTCCCCCCATGATCGCGTTTCTGCCGCTCTTGACCGCTATTGCACTTATTGGTGGGTGGCCGTGCCTTTGCCCGTTCTCGGGTTTCGCTACTGCGCTGGGAGCTTGGGAGCCGCCAGCCATTTTTTGGGTGTGCCGCCCATTTACAGGTGTGCTAGCACCCACGCCCGCTGGGAACTGCGCTGTAACTCGATGCCCAGTGCCCGGCCTGCCACTCACCACCACCAGCACTTTCGCTCACTTTACCACCTGCTCTGCTGCGCCGACCCAGCCAAACCCCGACCAAACCTCTGCAACTCTTTCTTCTCCCCTCATGCTTCCCACCTCACCCAGCTCGTCACTACACGTCTTTGACACTGGGAATCACTGCAGCTCTTACAACGACTATCGATAAACATAATCTTCTGGCGTCGAGGTGTGTATGCCAACACTCTCAGCTCCCGCTCCCCAGCGTCGCTGCTCTCTGCGCTTTGCTGTCGCCGCCCTCGCTAACCACACGCAAGCAGGCAAGACCTCGTAACGCCTTCGTCGCTGCCCGCCTGCGCCGTGCTCGCGACCTTCTTTTACTCTTCACTACAAAGCGTATGCTCAACCGCCTCGCATTGACAATGGCGGCGACTGCTACTGCATCGGCCGCCATGGCTCAATCGGCAGTGGACCCAGACCTGGAGGACAGCAACGTTTCGAGCCCTCTCACTGAGGTTGACGAAAAGGACGACAACGACGACGATATTGACCGCATGCAAATCGATGGCGACAACTCCAGCCTTAGCGGTGACGAGAACGCGGCCGAAGATGACCACTCCGACTCCGCCAGCGTCCTCTCTGACTCCGGGTCTGACGCCAACTCCGAGGGCAACGACACTGAGGCCGAGACAGAGCGCCTTTTTGATACACCCAGAAATCAGCGCCAGCGAGACGTTGTCGTCGATCAATACAATAACGGCCAAGTCTTCGAACACACACCAAGCAAGCTCCGCCGGGCGGCCAAGCCTGAAGACAAGGACGATGACCATGACGATGAGAACGCCGACCGCGAGTCTGTCTCTGGCGACGAGGGCTCCGGTGCCTCGAGCGCCGAAGATGCGGACAAAACACCTACACAATCCGTCAGCAAGACAAAGGCGCCGAACGTCGACGCCTCCAGCTCTGACTCGCAAGACCGCAAGCGCAAGCGGTCGCCAGTGGCAGATCAATTCGAGGCCGAGCAGCCTCAGAAAAAGCGAAGCGGCTCCGTCGACGCCACGTCAATTCAGGACCTGGCGCTGAATACTGTCGAAAAGCCTGCGACCAACGCCGACAGCGCTAATTTGTCTGATGCTGACGACGATGAACACAATCGTGACACTGGCACCGAAGGAGATGCGCAAGAGCACTCCTCACGTTCTTCCCTATCATCCAGAAAAAGCACTCGAAACGGCCGTGGAAGCAAGGACGATGTCAAGAATGAGGTAGACGACACTGGTGCCGATGCCGCCACGGAAACAGCCGGTGAGGAGGGCACAGATCATCATGAAGACGAGCCTGAGGCCGAAGTTGAAGCTGAAGACGAAGACGAAGCCGATATCGCGGCCAAAAACCAAGAAGAGAGTAGGATATCCCTCCCTAACCTGCATCAATCCCGATAAGCGATGCTAATCTACTACCAGTGGAGCGAAAACAAGCTGCGTTCAAAGCGTGGTCGCGTATCGAAGAAATGTTTGGCATTTTTCGAGATAGGTGAGTAACAGACGTTTGCCCGACTGGGTATCATCTCGATACTGACTGTTGTACAGACTTTACTCGGAAAAGCTCCAACGCGTCGAGGAGGAAGAGCAGTCTCTGCTCGCCGACGTGCCGACCCATCGCGAATATCTTAACATGAAACAATGCCTCGATGACCGACTCAATCAGAGGCTGCAACAAGTCAATACCGAGTTCGACTTTCAACTCAAGGCGAACGAGCGCTGGGCTGTGGCGCAGCGAGCCCAAATATGGAGCCAGTTTTTCCAGGCTGTCCGAGAAAAGCGAGAGCAAACTCTGGAGAGCCTAAACAAGCAGTGGTACGATGTTCAAACTGCCAGACGGAACGCACACAGTCTTCAGGATTATGGAATTCTTTTCCCCAAAGATCCAACTCAGAGGCTTCGAAATGCCATTGCCTACAACAGCGAGGTGTCCACGCTGGCAGGCATGGCCAAGTATGAAGGCTTCCCGGCCGGGCCAGAGATGAAAGGGGCTTCCGCCCTGGAACTAAAGTCGGATTTGAGCGCAATGGAGGTACGAGCAGTTGTATTGATCTCGACACATTGTCTGCAACACCAACAACTAACTCTGTGGACAGCGAACCAGACGCGGCCGTCAAAAGTCGAGCGCCTTTCAGCAACGAGACGATTATCAATCACCCAATATCAACCAAATAGGGCCCGCAGGGGAACAATTTCTCAAAGACACGCCGTGGGCGAATCCGAACCATTCGTCACATAAAATGGCGCGGCAAGGAACGGCGCACGAGGAGAATCGCGTTGTTCCTCAAGGCCCAATCTTCCAAAATGAACATCCAGCCTCGTCATTTAAATCACCAGCGCTCTCAACACGGCTTTCAGAGTCACCAGAGATGTCGCGATCAATACTCAAACCCTCGACGCATCAAATGAAGCGCGTAGCCAGCGTCCCAAGCGCCAACAGGACCTCCAAGGCAACTGCAGCTTGATCGACCGACTCGATTCGAATTTATGCTGATGAATATTTGGGCTTGGCGGCGCATTTCACTTGGTTAGGGAAGACACAACGGATATAGGCGCTCATATTTTGTGATACCCTCAAGGCATGCAGATTCTTTGATGACAGAAACGAAGATTTGTGTTGCATTCTCATTACTACTGACCTGGGATTTTATACGATTCGGAAATTGTCACCACGCAACGGCTTCGTTACTTTGTTTGATAACTGGAGTGATTTGGTGGAGTTTGGGTTGTTTATTTTGTTCTTACTTCCACTGTATACAATTGTATAGATGTTGCTTGAATCCATAGCACCGTGAAAGACTTGTTTCTCTTAGAAGGAGTTACTATACACGGCCTCTCCGTTCAGAATTGGCCAATATTAACGAGACGTTTGCGCAAAAATCATAATTGCTCCATGTCCTGTATATTAGGTTACAGATGCGCCGGCAGCCGGCATGGCCTTGTGTGGCTTAGGCGTGTCGTACCTTTATCGCGTCTCGGCCGCTTTTCTGGGAACATCGGGAACCTTGACATCATCGAACTCGTCCTGGCCGACGGCACGGAGAGTGTAATAATCTGCACAAAGCAGTGGATTAGTGACCTGACGGTCCTCGACTGATGGCAATGCTTACAGATACCGCCGACAACAGCGACAAGGCCGAGACCGGTCAAAGCATTCTTGAAGAGGTATGGGCGACGAGCGCGAATCAGAGCAGGCCCTTGACGGAGACGGCCATCGTAGTATGTTGAGTGTGGGTTGCTATTCGATGTTAACCAGGTGATGCCCATTATGGTGTTGCGGGTTGGGTGACGAACTGCGTGCGCGACATGGCAGCGGCTGTGCTGCGGAACGGAGTCATCATGTTCAAAGATAACAATTGATTAGACAGATATTGCTGTCAAACAAAGCACTCTGTAGACTGGATCAAACGGGTGAGCAGGTTTAGAAATGGCCTGTCCGAGATATTTGGAGTTTGGCCGGGCGGCTCATTGCCGGCTAAACGGGCCTCGGGCAAGGAAGTGCTGGAATTAGTGGCCGTCCAAGCTAGAAAGGCCTGTAATGGTCCCAGAAACCCGGCCTGGCCCCTGTATTAAAGAAATTGTACATTGATGCTGTGGGCCCGCGTCACGACTGACATCCGCCAAAGAAAGCTTGACATTTAGCATTGGTCGCGACTACAACTGTAAAGCGACGACTCTGCGCAACGGCATCAATCACGACGGTGCATTGACGAGCGAGCGAAATCACACTTTCCCCGGCCCGCGTTGGAATCTTCGAACTGATAATCGACACGGCAGAGCATGACGGAGAGATAGAATTTCTGACCGCTGAGGTTCTCCAGCTCGCGACACCGATCTCGACGCAGCTGTCAAAGCATCTTTTTTTCTGCAGCAGCCATAATCTGGCAGTCTTTATCGAATCTGCACCGCGCGTGAATCGCGACAAGCCAAACTTAACCAGCGATACTCTCCTTACTGCTTTGTCCTGTTGAGCGGCCCGCGCATTCATCGCCAACATGTCGAACGGGGAGCTGTCGCTGTCACAGCAGATTCAGCAGCTCAACGATGCCCGCAAGCACGTCCTAGGCGACGTGAAGCTGTACCCGGGCGTTGTGCGCGGTCTCATTCCCAGTATTGGCGCCTCGGCGCCGCTGGAGCTGCGGCGATGGGGGGCCGACTTTTTGGCGGAAGCCTTTGCTACGCCCGTGCTGCCCAACGGCGAAAAGGAGACGCTGGCGCCATACGTCTTGGCGACGCTTGAATCACTGGTGCAGAAACCGGATGAGGATCACTACGTCTTGCGAGGCGTAATACAGACAGCTGCGAGCATTTACCCGCTGGCGCTGAGATGGATGTAGGTAGCTCTAGAGAAGGAGCGCGACCTTGACTGGCGCAGACGCTGACGAGCAATGGCAGAATCAACAATTCCTATGACACGGTGACCTGGGAACGAATGATGTCTATAAAGCAAAGAATTTTAAAGATTTGGGACACGGCGACACCGACAGTCAAAATATGCTGCATCAAGTTTGCGCAGCGCGTGGTGCTAGCACAGACCGTATCTATCGTGGGAGACCACAGAGTACGTTCACATCTAAGCTGTTCTCGGAGTATTGCTAATATTGATCATAGTATGCTGGCGGTCTTGACATTTCTCTCGACAAAATCCCCCCCAACCATCAAACACTAGACCCTCGGACTCTAGAAGCTGAAGCATCTGGTCTCTTGGACCGTATGCTCAGCGTCCTGCAGGACTCCAAGTAAGCCACGGCTCCGACAGGCTGCGTTATAGTGGGTTAATAGCTAACGAATGCAGTGATGCCCTGGTTGTCGATGCGACTCTGAACTGTTTATCCATTCTGATTAGAACCCGTCCAGAGACGTCCAACCGTATCATCAACGCCATCTTCGCCTTTAATCCTCTTAACCTTGCGCCGTCGCCATTGACACCCAGGAGCAAGGTCATGATCAGATCCATGGAAAAGACTGTGCGATCACTTCTGGTCAACTTGAGCAGAAGAGATCCTCACAACCCCCTTGTGCCAAGAATGCAGCAACATGTCGAACGCAACATGCGCATGATTGCGGAGGCCTTTGACAGTAGTGGCAAGAAGCGGGCACTTAATGCACCACAGCACGACGGTAGTGATGCCAAACGTCAACGCATCACGACAGCCCAAATCCAGATCCCGCCTCTCGGATCCGGGCCTCATAGCCTTGCTGATCTCTTCAGTTTGGTCAGTAACGATGGGCTTAAGACATTCGATCTATCACTCGTACCACCCGCTATGGTGTCGAAATTAGTGGTCACGACCCTTGCCAGGCTAGACACACAACTGTTGGCCAAGGCTGTAGACGGCGTTCGTGACAGACTACAGACAGTGGCGAACGCTCCTGTGGCAGAGCTGAACCCCAACACGGCGCCACTTGGTGTAGATGACGATGATGACGACTATGAGCCAGATTTTTACCAAGCCGAAGACACAGAACAGATTTTGAACAAGCTAGACAGCGAGCCGTCTGGCCTAGACCCGATTCATCTCGACGACAACCTGGCGCTCAAGTCATTCAGCCTCTCCCAACCACAGCAACTAACACCGGAACTCGCGCTAACTGCTGGTGCCGGCACGGTAGAGAAGGTCGTGGGTATGATGAAGTCCCTCGAGGATTCGTCAGCAAAGAAGGTCAAGGCTGGTTTCTCGCGGCTGGCTGCCAGTTCTGGCACAAAGGATGCATGGATGACCATATTGGCACGTCTTGCGACAAGATCATCTGCTGGGTTGGATGAGATTCTTGTCAAGGGCGAGGACGACGGCGACACTTCGTCACAGTCGCTGTCCAACACGATTCGTGAAGTTTTGTACAACTACATTATGGAGGACTTTCGCAAGCATATTGACGTGGCTGTATCATGGCTCTGCGAGGAATGGTACAATGACCAACTCCTGAGCAAGACGAACCGCGACTACCCAAAGTACTACGAAAAGTGCGCGTTACGTCTTCTTGATGGCTTTTTGCCCTATGTACACCCGCAAGACAAGGTCTTGACACGCTTTCTTAGCGAAATTCCCGAGTTGAACCAGGAAATACTGTCTCGGGTGAAGCAAATGTGTCGCGATCCGCTCGTGGTCAAACTTGCATTGACGAGCTTGCTATATCTGGTTCTCATGCGGCCGCCGGTCAAGGAGTTGGCTTTGGACACTGTGCAAGATATATGGACAGAGTGTACGTTTAAACTCGTACGACACAGTATGAAGCTTGCTAATTTTTCTCGCAGTCGAAGATGCGCGCACCATGGCGGGCCACTATCTCTCGAAGTACCGACCCGGGTTCTTGGAGGCGGCAGCTGCTAGTAAGACGGAGGAGGACTCATCGGCTGGCACGGCCATTACGACGTGATTGCATGCAACCTCTGAAAGGGTTACGAGTGGTGGGATGATGAGCAGGACGATATCCACGGCGGGCAGTGTAGCAGCGAATGGCATTTTTGCGGGCGTTTCTCCAGGACATCTGTGAAGCAACAGGAAGAGCTTATCTATTTTTTGTACATTAGAGCATATGGTCGACTGGAGTGCAATCTATAGCGAGCCTATAGCCAGAATATGACAGTTGCTGCCAGCCAGTGCAGAATAACCTGTTCGACATGTCTAGTATACGATGCACTGATTCGTGATAAATATTCGCTGTTGGCGTTTGACATGTACGGTGTACATTAAGTAGTTAATTTTATGAGACAAATATCTTCAAGGCTTGGGACTCATTGAAGATGACCGCTCGTTGGGCAAATTTCGATCTGTGAGACAGGTGCATTGACCGCCCGTGGGAAGAAGAGTTGTGAGTGGTGCGCCCCTTGTAATTTCCCCCGGATCTCTCCTGCATGCCAGACGAAAAGAGAGTCAGCCATTGTGGATAAATGCAGTGGTAGAGCGTGTTAACTTGGCACAATGTGACCATATCAACAGAGCGATAGATAGCCCCTTTGTCTGATGGTTAGTAGTTGTGCTGTGTCTCTAGTCTTGATGGGCTTTTCTCGACTTTGCATCACTAGACACATCATTACACCAAACCCGCGCAGCGTTCAGGACCCAGCGACAAGAAATATAGAGTTGCGAGCGACAGCAATACGAATAAACATTGCACGCGCGTTGTGCATTGTTTATGTTGTAGTGGGCCACCTCTACCCTCTACCAGTAGTTACAGGCTCGATCCCGGGGCTTATTTACCGACATCCCGCACCATTGCAAGCTTGCTGGTGGATTTGTATGAGGAGTTTGCATTTACCAAGACTCCAAAAACAGGCGCATCGAAAGATAGGGTGGCCAAGGTAGGCTGACTGACCATTTGATCTGGCCGCCCCAAGAAAAACGCGTCCGCAAAAGGCCGACCTGACCCGTCTTTTGCGAGCATTTATCTTTTAATCAAGCTTGCTCCTGCACCGCACGCAACAACACGATAGCGGGCTGGGTTATTTTCCAGAGAAAACAGACGGTTTCCTGAACAACCAGCGAGACAAGCGAAATGCCCCGGAAGCGGCTCCAAAAGCAGAGCTTTGCCATACACCAAGACACAAATCAAGGTACGCTTCCATGAACAGACGGATATGCAGACAAACATATGAATGCATCTCATTTCTACCCATGCACACTTTCATTTGACATTGCCTTTTTCTGCGCGTGGGCTGGCTGGTGACGTGGGCGGTAAGTTAGTGACGGCACTGTCCGACCTAGCTTCCGCTATAATGCTTCACCTATTCCGTACTGTTGCCGCTGTCTAGCCACGCGCCGCCACCCTACCCTTGCTCTTGAATCGGATTCGACGGTCCCCTGTCGAAAAACAAGCACAAGACAAGCAGACGTCACTGCTTTTCTCCCCCAAGGCTATTTCGATTCCTGGCCTGTCTTCTGCTTTGAACCTGACACAATCTTCAAAAAACCACACGCACACATACACACACTGACCTGCCCTTTCCCATCGAGATCCTCCCCACCGCTGACTTGAAGCCTCTTCTCATCACCAAATAGCGTCAGCCCGGACCCTCGACAGCCTGGACCAGGTCCAATTGCTAAATGACGACGGCGGCAACATTCGAAAGCTGACACCTGCCTCGACTGGCTCCATCAATAGCATGCAAACTGCGTCACGGAACATTGTGGCCAAGCATGCCATTGGCCGCACGTCTACCATTCGCAGCGTCCCCAGCTTCGACGGCTCCGATTCGAGTCACGAGACCAAACAGAGCCCCTTTTCCAGCAGCACCAATAGCAACACGAGCGCCGCATCAACCGCTCTTGCGGCGCCCGGCTACGACAAGGCGGCCAGCCGGTCAGCGTCAGGCGCTGCTGCGGCTGACACACACACGACAACCGCGGCGAGCCGCTGGAGCGCCAACGGCGTCCGCGTAATAGAAACCCAGAAGCAACAGCCAGGGCCGCTAATCAACGACGGTTCGGTGCTCTCTGAGCCCACGGACGGTGAGAATGGGCAATGGGATTCCACGATTGGCAAGGCCGGTCTGGGCAAGACGGGACGCGTCATCAACAAGCTCGTCAGCGACAACGACGCCCTGAAACGCGAGATTCAGATTGAGCGTCTGCGCGCTGAGGAGGCCAAGCAGGCCGCCAAACTGATCGAGGACAAGATGGAGCGCATGGTCAGTGAGTACGAGGGCCGACTGCTCGAGGCCAGCGTGACCAAGACGCTGCTCGCTCGCAAAGAACGCCAGGTCGAGTCCCTGACGGCCACCGTCGACGTGGAGCGCAGAAAAGCCGCCGCGGCGCTCGAGTCGGAGCGCACGTGGAAGGAGGCAATGCAGCAGGCGCGCGGCGATGCCAAGACGCAGGTCGAGCACGCGGCGACGCACGCACAGCTCGTCGACGGCCGCTACAACGCCATTGCGTCGCACTGGCGCGAACAGGGCGAGCAGGTTGCGCGCGCCGTCACCAAGATGCGCGCCGAGATTGCCGAGATTGTCGATGAGCGCGCGCGCGACGATGACAAGATCCGGACGCTGCGCGACCTCTGCGAGCAGCAGGACGGCAACATTCGGGAGCTGCGCCGTGAAAAGGAGGAGATTGCGCGGCTGTTTGCGCAGTACAAGACGACGCAGGACGACGACCTGCGCGCGATACGGACAAATGCCAAGAAGAGAGAGGATGAGCAGGAGAAGATGCTGGCAGAGGCGAGAGAAGCGCTGCATAAGCTGAAATGGGCCCTCAACGTCAAGAACAACGTCAAGGGCGCGCAATGAAGGACCTAGTTGTCCTCGTGTGCCCTTTTTCTACCTTTTTTTTTTTTTCTTCTTCTTTGCACCCGTCTCCTCCTGCAATGGCAGGGGGGAACAGGAGGGATATAACAATAACCAAACTTAAGGACGACAACAAATATTTGAGCTACAGATGACAGCCCCACGACGCCATATTCGCCAGCTTCTTCTCTTCTTTCTTCTCTTTTACTTAACGGCAATTACAACATGGCGTATCATGATTCATGGCATTTTCTTCTCTTCTAAATCTTCATCATTTTTATTCCCATATAGTGTTTTTTTTTTCCCTTTGTTCGGAAGTGGCATCTCTTCTTGTCTTTCTGGAGATAATCTGCATATAGAACAGGCAGCAAAGATTGAATCGGCTTATAAAAAGAGGAGGTTTTGCATCTCGAGCGCGTTGTTACAGTATTTGATCGTTTGTCTAGTTCAGTGGGATGCCGCTGTTGCAATGCAGCAGCAGGCTCACACGATGCATAATTCCATTCACCTGCCCCAAGATACATGCTGACCCAAAACGTAGCTCACGTTTCAAATCAAGCTCTCCAAGTTTTTGAAGGGGTCTTGGAATGTGATGCTGCTTGGCAAGCTCTCGTTGACGGTGTAAGGGATGTCGTCGAATGGGTCGTTGCTGGTAGTCCTTTCCACTTCAGCAGCGGGAATGACCTCGAGAGGTGGTGGTAGCTTGGGAGGTGTGCCGCGCCCTTTCTCAACCTGCGGGAGTAAGCTGAGACCGAGAGTTGGGAGGGATCCTTTGCAGGTGACTTGCATATTCTTTTAACATGCTTTCCAATCGTTCCAAGACCGTGTCGATGGCTTCACAGCTCTCATCGGAACCAATGTACAAGACTGTCTGCCGCAAATTGTACGATATGCGGCACTTGTATACGAGTTGAAACTGTTCAGCATCTAGTGGGATCTTGCTGCCGTCATTCGTTCCGCACAGCGCAAGCAACCCGTCAAAGCTGGCGGAGGGATGGCCCTCCAGACCGTACCATGTGGTCTTGTGTTTTGATTCGGCAATGAACTCGGGGAAGATGTCGCAATCGGCAAACGCATATGCATCGCTCCCGTTCTTCTTGTACTCGTGCCAGGACGTCATGCGAGGATCAAGAGAGATAATGGAGATGTCGCCGTCTGTCTTCTCATCAAAGTCGAGGGCGTCGACGTCGTCCTCGGCAATGGCGAACAAGTTGTCCTGTATAGCAGCGGTAATCTGTCGCCGTTCACTGCTTAGCGAGATGCATTTGAACCATGGACTTCGAGGCTCGTAGAGAATTTCCAGCAGGCCCTGTTAAGTTTCGCGTGAGCGTGTGCTTTCGGGTGTCTCTCGCGTTAGACCCGGTACCTCGGCGTCCTGAACACGTCGAATGACCTCTGACACGCCCTGAGGAAGCAGCGGGGGGTTGCAGGTGATGTAGAATTCGACAACGCCAGCCATTTTTCTGAAGACAGAAAAGAGCATACGGGATTATGGAAGCTTCACGGTGTGTGTTTGCAGAGAGAGATGAGCAGTGCCACCTGGCAGCTGGCAGTTGACGATTGATGGACCTTTGCCAGCTGTCAGCTGCGAGCGCACAAACGGGGCATAAATAGAATCGGATAATTCTTCATCGTTTGCTCTTTCATGCTTCATCAACACTTTCGAACAGTTCAAAGTTAGATACTCTATGAGCGATCACCTCGCAAAAAGACATGTCAACCACTGTACAGCAGTGGCCGCCTGTTGAGGTCCCATCCACCAGTGACCTGGCAGACAATTTTATTGGGTTGCTCGAGTGGGTGCTGGATGAGTGTGACATGGCCGCCGAAAATCACATGGAAGAATATATCTATGGATGTGATGGTCAAGCCGCTGTGAATGACTCGTCAGCTCTGGAAGAAGTCGACGGCTGTGGTATGTCCATCATCACCCTTCTTCCCAGCATCACCCAACTGATCGTTGCTAGTGGAGGTAAACACCAAAGAACTCGCCGAGTACACGTTTTCTCCGGAGAAGTTCACGAGCCCTGAGCACAACCTTGGCGAAGACGAAGGCAAAGATGACGTCCAGAACGATGCGATGATGCCAATCGAACAAGATCATAGTAGTTCATTGCAAGATGGAAATCAAGAAGCAGAGTCCATCCTCAAGACTGTGACACTGACAGACACTGCAGGAGAGAATAGTTTGGAGCTGGTTGAAAAGAAAAAAATTCCTTCCGGAGTCAGTCAAGACAAGGGTCAAGCGGCCCCCGAAGATAAAGGGTCAACTTCGTCTAGGAGCATCAGTACCAGCGGGCAAGGTTCCTCTCCATCTCTGAACAAAGCATCTCCAAACCGGCCCAACGAGTTCGAGATTGTGCGCAGTATCGAGGTCCCAACAAAAGTCAAGGAGTTGATTGCTTCTGGTGAGCCCAGTCCGCTGTCTGTTGCGGCCTGGGTCATGGATACAACAGAGGCACCGGTGCCGAACCTCGTTGTCTCCAAAGCAGCCAATGCTTCGACCCACTGTCGTGCCATCAACCCCGAAACGGGCGCATTTCTTCCGGTCATTGAGCAACCGGAGACAAGATACAATGACGAGTTGGATCTTCAATCGGAGCCCGGGTGGCGACGAAGCAATATCACTTCAGACATGCAAATCAGTAGAGAGTTGAAGGCCAGAGCAAAACTCGCCCGACGCCTAAAAGAACGTCTTCCTACCCAGGCGCAGGCGAAAGATACTGTCCCGGAGGAAGCGGAGAGCCCCTTTCCGAAGGCAGACTGCACCCTTAGGCCCGCCACTGATGATGACATCGCCGCGATATCAGATATTATCAACCAGGAACGACAAACCAAACGAGGGAATACCCAGAAAAAGTCATCTGACATCAAGAATTGGGACGTGTCAGAGTACCTCAAGAAATGCAGGCAAGAACAACGGCCATTCATTGTTGCAATCGCTGGCGAAGATGACCTTCTGGATCGATCAAAATGGCCTGCCGGCGCCGACAAGGCATACAAAAAGTACGTTCAGTACCAGAGTACGTTCAAGAAAGTGCAACCTTCAATTGTCGGATTCGCTTTTGCTATGCCGCGACAGAGTCTCGACGTGCAGGAAACTGACATCGATCATTCTTGCTACATTACCCTGTGTGTCCACCCGAGCCACAGGAATGAAAAGTACGGATCGGCGCTGTTAGACAGGATTCTGATGTCTGTGTCTCCTGTTCACCGTTCTCTCATCGACTTCGGATGGCAGTGTGATGATGCAGTCGAGACATATGAGCAGCTCGCTTCGCACAATGCGAAGCAGTACGCCCGCGTATTTGTCGAGTATTCCGAGCCCAGGGACGCAGAGTATAAGCTGATGGCTAGGGAAAAGTTGTTGAGGAAGTTCGGATTTCGTCAGGTTGGCCACTTGACTTGTATGAGAAGTGAGTCTCGGGCGGGCAGAAGATACTGGAAGGACTTGCTCATCTGGGAACTCGAGGCCCAGTCGCTCGAAAATGTTCGGTAGATGCAGGCCTATTGATGTCCTTTTTAATTGTCAGGCGAGAATTTGGAAAAGGAAAAGACAACACCAGCTTAGGAATGATGAGCTTTGACTAAGTGTATGGAGAGATTCGTCAGAACACTATAAAGAATTCACAAATATTCAGAGCCTTGTTTGTGTGGGATTAATCACAGTGCTGTAGTGAGTCTTGTCGGATGTGCATTTAGGTATTCACAAGGCCCCACCAAGCATGATCATCAAGGCACCATCTTTTTGACCCTTGCACCTTGTATCGCAGTGACAAAAGTGCAGTCTCCCAGAGAGAAGCGCTGATTCGAATACATTCGAGGATGAAATAGGCAACACACAAGCGGCGTTCGATATGCTGTCGATTCTTCGAAAGGCGCGGCTCAAGGACAAGGAGATGCGAATCCTGATGCTGTGGGTTGGTGAGCTCCGCGAGGAAGCGCACTTCAGCTAATGTGGCGCCATGCAGTGGCCTCGACAATGCGGGAAAGACAACAATCGTAAAGAAAATTCTCAATGAAGATGTGCACACAGTCAGCCCAACGCTGGGATTCATAATCAAGACAATAGACTACGACGGGTGAGTCAAACAGCAGACGCACCGAGACATTTTGCTAACGTTGACGGCGCTTAGCTACAAGCTCAATATCTGTCAGTTCATGTCGAGCCTGCTGTTACTCCCAGATTGAGCGGCTGCTGACTGATTTAGGGGACGTCGGGGGGCAAAAGACGCTGCGGTCGTACTGGCGAAACTACTTTGAAAAGACGGACGCGCTGATCTGGGTCGTCGACTCTACGGACCGGCTGCGCATCGAAGACTGCAGAGAGGAGCTTCACGGGCTCCTGCAGGAAGAGGTAGGTCGCGTTGAAAGGGTGTGGGCTGGAAAAGTCAAGGCCGGAAGCTGATGATTTCTGCAGCGGCTGGCGGGAGCTTGTCTGCTCATCTTTGCCAACAAGACTGACGTGGACGGGTGCATGACGGAGGCGGAGATTCTACAGGTGGGCAGTGGCATAAACCATTCTCGGTGACGTCAGGCTAACAAGTAGCAGGCCCTGCGGTTAGACGAGATTCGAACGCACCAGTGGCATATTCTCCAGTGCAGTGCCATGACGGGCAAAAACCTGAAGGAAGGGCTGGCGTGGGTGGTGGAGGATGCGAAGAAGAGGCTATTTCTGTACTAGCGAGCCAACCATCGAACCGACCCGGGCAGAACAGGCATGAATAGTATACCATAGTTGATTGTAACGGAATGCAATTTGGTCGCATGGTGGCAAAATCGACGAGGGCAGTGCAGATTGTGCAACCGACCAAGGACCCGGTGGGCTTGCGCATGACGTGCATACGAGCAAGCGAGTAAGTCGCTGGCGATGATTCAACGGGTGTGACGATTGGATGCAAGCATGGAGCCGGAGACTATGGAGCCAGTGACAAAGGCTTATTGACTAACAAGTATTTATACCGGCGCTGGCTATCGACTGAGACGATGCGAAAAGAGGGCCATGATTCGTCGACGCGGAGACGACGCGGTATGAGTGGGCTTTTGTTTACATGCCGCATTGGGTTATGATGCGTGAGCTAACAAAAGTTACATGTGAAGCTGTGATTGTTCGACAAAGTTAAGGGATAGTAGAGTACATGCATGTGAAGGGGGAAAACAAGAGAGAAGACGGATAAATTCGCATTGTGATTGCGTGGGGGAAGGAGGGTGCACTTTATGCAGCGGTCATGTTTAAGATGTCTCTGGCTTGTGCTTGACTAGAATGCTGGTTAAATTGAAAACCCCTGCTAGAGTTTAGAGCGGCCAGATATCACGGCCAGTGCCTTTGTATGGGCAGAGGTACAAAGCTCGTGGCGGGCGACAAGTACCTGGTCTTAGCGATCACGGTCGCTGCTCGCCCGTACGTACGCCTGAATCACGCGCCAAGGTCCGATGGTATCCGCTATAAGCTGGCCCTTAGGGGTACATTTCATGCCTCGCTTCCTTGTACCTTGAGACACTCTGAGCAACGCGGCAACAGGTAGGTACTTGAGCCGACTGCATGTCGCCGCCTGATTCAAATCTGCGACTTCTTTCCGCCCTTTTTTTTGTGTTGACTCTGGGACCTCTACGGCCCTCCAACGGTTCTTCTTCCCCTGGAGGGCAGAGTGCAAAGCGAATCACCAATCTACGGCCAAATCCGACGTCGCTACGGAATACGACTAATTGCCATGTCCTTGGCCGTTTGAACGCTTCCAGACCGTACAAATAAACCCCAGATCTGGACAACGTCGGTCGCAGGCGAACCAGCAGACACAATGTCGGACGAAGTATCCCAGTTCCTCGAGCAGGTCGAGCAGCTGCGCGGCAAGCAAATTGAGGACGACCAGCAAAGAGCCCGCGAGCGCGAGGAGTTTATGGCGGCCAAGCGGGAGCGTCAGGCCAGGCGAGAAGGTGAGTTTGTCAATGTTACTTTCGTCATTGAGGCCCGATCCTGAGGGAACCAATGTGTCGTGTACGCTGCCAGTCGGGTCGTGCAAGGAGAAAGAAAGCCAAGTTGAATGGCATAAGAAGATCGAGTCGTACAGCTGGCCAGCTGCAAGTCATTAATGGCTTGCCCGGCTGGCGGCTTGCAGCTGGCAGAAAACGCGGTCGTATCCGTCATCAAACAGACCACCTCAGCCCACTCAGCAATCACAACAACAAAACAACTCCAAAAGCCCGAAGAAGCTAACCGCAATCTCTTTGATTCCTGCAGAACGCGCACGATCCATCTCCCCGCAAAAGTCTTCGCCCGCCAACACTCCGTCTCCTCGCGCCAATGCCCGCGCCATTAACTTTTCCGATTCGCTGAAGCTCGACTCATCCTTGATGTCCGACGACTCTCGCGAAACTTCACTAGAGCCGGCACGCGGCATGGGGTACTCGAACTCGCCTACCAAGGAGAACGAGGCTCCGATCGACATTGAGTCCAAGCAAGATGCCGCGGCAGTTGCTTCTGCCGGTGTTCCCACCAGAACTTCGACGCTGTCCTGGCAGCAGCGCCGGCCCAACTCGCGCGGCGGCACCGCTTCGCGACCACTCAGCATGGTGGCCGCGCAGAATGCCACACAGCGCGGCGTTGCCCGCATGCAAGATCCGCAGCCCCCTGTTGCGACACCCGAACACCAGACTCTTACGAGAGAAGATATCGCCAAGACATTGGGTCTCAAGGATCCCTCATGGTTTCGTCAGACGACTGATCGTGGCCAAAACTCTGCTGCTCTTAGAAAGAACCAGGTTGAAGATAGCGATACTATGGATATGTCGTCTATCAAGACGCAGTTGCCCGGCATCTCTAGCGCGCAGAGGGAATCCGTGGCAAGCTCAACAACTAGCAACCTCGCCTCCCCAGTGACACTTAACCCTCCCGCCTTTGTTGGTATGGCGGATAGGCAAGGTGACGTTGACTTGTCCAGCGGACGAAGCTCGCCTACACGGTCCGCCTCCCCCACCAAGGGTCTGGGCGGATTTGTACAGAGTGCCATGCTTAAAAGGAGTGACAGCATCAAGCGATGGAGTGTTACTAGTCCTCCTGGCTTGAGCCGCGCCGACTCGGTCTCGGGGAGCATTGGTGGTCACAGCAATGAAGCATCAAGAGGAAGCCCACGGCCACGGAGCAAAATTAGAGACTCAGCTACGCCAAATCCCAGTCGACCTACTTCACGGGGCGGGATCAAAGAAGAGAGCGCATCGCCGGATCATTCTAGCCAGGGAGCCCTGAGCCGTGAACCGAGCGATTTGAAGATCCCTATCAGCCCTTCCAAGACTATGGACTCGAGGCGATGGAGTCCGACTAAGTCAAGCTGGCTGGAAAGCGCCCTGAATCGACCCGAATCTCCTCGGCCCCAGCACAAGTCGAATCAGTCTCAGCCGGAGTGGTTGTCGGACCTTGCCCGAAGCAAAGCAGCGAGTCCCAGCGGTGAAGGCAGCCGCCCAAGCTCCCCTCACAAACATCAAGTCAGCATCGGTGGGCTCATGAGGACAACACCATTCGACGGAGGCGCAAAAACTAATACGACCGGCTTGGGAGGAATTTACTCGCCGCCTCCCGGTGGTAACCGACCACAATTTGGGCATGGCTCCAAGCAGAGTGTTTCCGTTACATCAACAGAGCGACCGCCTTCGAACCTAGAGGCTGAACCTCCGCAAACACCCACGCCGCAGGAAGTCATGCCAGAAACCGATGCCGACACCAATGCGAAGTTGAATTCAGAGGCGCATCCAGAACCTGAGCCGGAGTCCGTGAGAAGGGCATCCGTAGCTTCGCCTCCAGTCATCAAACCGAAGCCCGCTACACCACCCAAGAAGGATTTTCGCTCAAGCTTGAAGCCCCGCACTGTCGATACTGACGCGAAATCATCCACAGAGCCCGAATTCAGAAACGCCCTGGGCAATTTGCGTCGCACCAAGACGCAAAACTATGTCGCACCTGATGAGTTCAAGGGAAACATCCTCCGCGGAAAGGCTTCTCTTGCTATTACTGGGGGCCCGCAAAAGACGGAACGCAAGGACGAATTCAAGGACTCAATTCTTAAGAAGCGAGAAGACTTCAAGAAAGCCCAAATCGCCGGAAAAGGTGTCACGCGAACCTCTGCTGCTTCAGTACCTGCGGATTTACCAGAAGGTTTGGCCAGGAGAGCTGAGCTCGGCAAGGGCTCCGTCCGAGGCAATATCCCCGTTATGGGCACATCTGCCGCGGCCGTCAACAAGTCAGAGTCAATCAAGCCAGTACCTGGGCCGAAGCGGGTTCCCAGTGGCGCTGCCTCTGCTGCTGCAAAAAATGCAGGTTCCGAAAGGCCTCGTCGCGTTTCTACGGAACCCCAACAAAAAGTCAGCGGCAACGAAGCCCGTCGCGTGCCGAGCATGAAGAAGGAGACCACAGCACCAGCGAGCCTGCAACCAGGGCGTGTTGGGACTAGCAAGTTGGCAGATCGTTTTAACCCTAGTCTTGTCAACATGCTTGCGCGCGGCCCGCCTCCAATGGCATCCAACGGAGGGCAACGCTTCGAAGAAGGCAAGGAGGCAAGCACCAGTGCGGTGGTTGAACCGTCTGCTCCTGGTCCACAGTTAACACACATGACCAAGGGCAGAGCCCGTGGTCCAAGAAGAAAGGCCCCGACATCAGGCGCTGGTGGTGGTGCAAAGGCTAGTTCTACATCGTCTACGCCTATATCAGCTGCACTAGAGAAGCCCATGGAGCCTGAAGCAATGAATGAAGAAGCTGAAATTGCCCCTCCTGAACCTGAGAGGAAGTCTATGTCTGTACAGGAGCAAGTTGCAGCCACGGCAGCTGCACGCAGCAAACCCTCGCCGCTGCGTTCTCGCGAACAAGCCGTAACTGAAAGAAACACTGACGCCAGCCCTTCGCCCAAGACACCTTTGCAGAAATCATCCTTCAACCAAGCCGCCGGCGAGGTCACCGATGTAGTTACTTCGCCTTCGGTGAACACTACAGCCGGAAAGAGCAGCATTGCGGAGAAGAGACAGTCGAGACCGCTGAGCGCTAACCGTCTCTCCAAGTTTGTGGACAGTGCTGAACAAGATTTTGATAAGCCAAGCTTTTCACCAAAACCTGTCGCGTCACCCAAGTTCACGCCTTCCTCCAAGCCTGTCTCTTCGCCCAAGGCTGAAGCCTTCTCGAAAGTAGCGCCCTCGCCCCGATCTATATCCTCGCCCAAGCCCGCTGCCTTGTCATCATCCTCGACGACTATTCCACTCTCTGCTTCCACTTCGCCCGAAAAACCTACCAGTCCTGTGGAGAAGCAGAGGGAGAGACATTTTGCATCTCCCACTCATGCCATGCCCTCTAGAACGTTTGGCACCATTGGCCCCGGCTCACCCAGGCCGACACTACATGGCCCTCGTCCTCAAGCTGAGCCATCACGCCCAAAGTCGCGACACGGCCGCCCTCCGTCTAGCGCAGGCCTGTCATCTGCAGCTATCTCTGCATCAGGATCACCCATGCCTTCACCAACCAAACAACCAGGCGAAATCACGACGTTGTTCAAGGATTTCTTTGGACCACCACGCCCTAGGAAGGACTTCAAGATTGACACGGCTGAGGTACTGATGAGCCATCCCGCGTCAGGAGCTAAGATTCAAACTCAGGAGGTTCAAATGTACCGGCTCTCGGGAGATGGCAAGAAGACGCCTGTATCGGCACAGAATGAGCGTGTGTTATTTGATGGCGAGATGTACATCTGTGCTCACAGCTTCAAGAATGCAGCTGGCGCGGGCACCGTTGCATTGTACTTTTGGATTGGCGATGAAGTTGCCGAGGCTACGGCACAAGATGCGCAGGTCTTTGCCCAGAGAGAAGCAAAGGCTATTGGCGGCAGACTTTTGAAACTGTACCAAGGCAAAGAGACGGCCGAATTCATGCAAGCCCTGGGCGGTGTCATCATCGTTCGCCGCGGCTCTAGCGACCGTTTCGACAGTCTAGCTCCGCACATGCTATGCGGCCGTAGATATCTTGGCCAAGTTGCTTTTGACGAAGTGGATATGAGCACCTCTAGCCTCTGTGCCGGGTTCCCTTTCATTATTTCGCACAATGGAAAGTGCTGCCTGTGGAAAGGCAAAGGCAGTGATGTAGACGAGCTGAGTGCTGCCCGACTGGTCGGTATGGAGAACACCATTTCCGGGGAGCTGATGGAACTCGAAGAAGGCAGCGAGCCGGAATCTTTCTGGCAATTGTTCGAAGAAGGCCAAGCCAAGTCTCACTCTGCCGACCACTGGCGCCTCAAGCCCAATTACAGCAAGTACGGTAGCAGACTATTTTGCTCTGACGCCGATGCTCGCCGCCAGGTACGATTGATGCAGTCGTGAGTAATGAGTACAATGTTAACACTATGGCAGATTACGGAGATTGCGCCCTTCAACCAGACGGACCTTTCACCGCTAAAGATATATGTGCTTGATGCCTTTTTCGAAATGTACATTGTTGTAGGCTCCGGCGCGCAATCGCAGTACTCTTCTTTCCGCAATGCGCTCGATTTTGCGCAAGAGTACGCAATTCTGTCTGCGAGCATGGAGGACCGTCCATTTGTGCCAGTGTCTACCATTGTGCTGGAGGGTATCCCGCGAGATCTCAAGCGCGTTTTCCGCAAATGGGAAGATGCGCGCAGCCCTACGGTCACGAATACATACTCTGGACTGAGGCGTGGGCGCAGCTTGAGGGTTGTGCCGCTGTCACAGGCTTTGCAGGCTTTAAGCGAGTGAGTTTTGTACTAGTGTGTGTGAGCATAGGTGGGCGTTTATTTAGATAATCAAGGGGAAAGCATAACATGTGTGGTTAACTTTTTCGCTGTTCCTTATTCATCTTTCTTAATCATGGTTACATGTGTACACGAGATACTTGGTAGATGAGCAATAGATTAATGGATGGAAATAGGAGCTCGCTTACGCCGTGCTTCTGTGACAAGAGGGCACATGACGGCTCTATCTAGTATGCAAATTATCATATCACAACTGAAAGTCGGACATGTGAATGCATGCAGTCATGTCGATCCTTGTTCAGGCTCACGCGAAGGACGTAGCGTGTCTCTGCGAATAGCGACATGGCGCTGGTCAGCAATACTAGACCCAAGTACACCATGAAGCTACCCCGCCATCGGGCGGTTATAACGGCAAGAGTTGTAAGTGCTTGAACAAGGCGTACTGAAGCCAGATGTGTGTGGCAGCATCATTCCGTGGATCTTCAAAATCGCCAATCAGGAAAAAAGTTGGTGCTGCGAAATCGCCCTCAGCCGGGTATACTGGTGCGATGCTAAGCGACCAAAGCCGAGCGAGCATCTTTAAGCTCGCAGCCTCGTCGTACTCGAGCCCATGTTTTTAAAAGCAAAAACGTGCCAACGAGTATATATATGTATATAAAAAAAAAAGGCAGAAAGTAGGAAACTTGTAGAAATACTTGGTGTGACTATGACTTTGCTGACTTCATAATGAATTCGAAACTCGTGCTGTCAGGCGCGGTTTTGAGAAGCTCCAAACCAGCAAACGGCGACGGCGAGCCAGACGCCAAGCAGCAGCAGCAGCCACCGCCACTTGGACAAAATGCGCAGGTAGAGGAAACGACAACGGACCCGGAGCAGCAGAGTGAGGAAACATGCGACGTGTACAAGTCGGAGCCGCCAGACGGCGGGCTGGCGGCGTGGCTGGCGCTTCTCAGTTCCTGGTGCATGCTGTTTTGCACATTTGGCATGATTAATTGTCCGTGACGTGATCCTTTTCTCTTCAGACCGACAAAGAAAAATCATAGGTGACCGACTAACAATGTACATGCGAGAGGACCAGGCATCGGCACATTTCAGGGCTACTATCAACAAGTTTACCTTCGCGCGTACTCGCCCGGCACGATATCGTGGATTCCGTCGCTGCAGATATTCATCGCCTACGTGACCGTAAGTCTAGCCAGTACCCCGGCCCTTTTTTTTTCAAATCTTTGCAGCGATCCGGAATTCTGACTTGAGATGTTGGGGGGTGGGCAAATCCTCCCTAATTAGAACCCCTTTACTGGTCGTCTCTACGACGTCTACGGCCCGCGAGCGCTCGTCGCCGTCGGCACCGTCCTCGAAGTCCTCGGCCTCGTGGCCACCTCCCTCTCGACGCGGTACTACCAGATCCTCCTCGCGCAGGGCCTCTGCACCTCGCTCGGCATGTCCGCGCTGTACGTGCCCGCCACGGCCCTCGTCGCCAGCTGGTTCGGCCGCCGCCGCCGCGGTCTCGCCTACGGCCTCGCCACCAGCGGCTCGTCCCTCGGCGGCATCGTCCTGCCGCTCCTCATCGCGCGGCTCATCCCGCGGGTCGGCTTTCCCTGGACCCTGCGCGCCGTCGCGCTCCTCATCCTGGCCCTGCTCCTCGTCGCAAACGCCCTCGTCCGGTCGCGCCTCCCGCCGAGCCCCGCGCCGCCGCCGCTCTCTGGGCGTATCCTGCTCGGCCCGCTTCGCGACATCAAGCTCATGCTCGTCAACGGTGGCTTCCTCCTCATGACGCTCGGCGTCTTTGTCCCCATCAACTACGTGGCGGTCGAGGCGCGCCAGCAACACGGGCTGCCCGACGCGTTGGGCCACTACCTCGTCGCCACCATGAACGCGGGAAGCCTGGTCGGCCGGGTGGGCGCGGGCGTCGTCGCCGACGTCGTCGGAGCGTACAACACGTTTGTCGCCGTGTCGGCGCTCGCGGGTGTGCTGGTGCTCGCGCTGTACATTCCGGCGGCCGGCGCCGGCGCGGTGTGGACGTTTTCGGTGCTGTTTGGGTGCACGTCGGGCGCGTATATTGCACTGCTGGCGCCGCTCGTCGTCAAGATCTCGCCGCTCGAGGAGGCTGGGTACCGCATCGGCTTGCTGTTCGCCATGTCGTCGGTCAGCGGCCTTGTGACGAGCCCGATCGGCGGCGCCATCCTAGAGCACTGGCATGGCGACTACACAGGCATGAAGATTTACTCGGGCGTCATGATGCTCAGCGGCGCGGCGCTGGTGTTTGTGTCACGCATGATGGCGACCGAGTGGAAGATGAATGCTGTTTTCTAGGTAGCTCTATGAACGGGGTATCAGCCAAATAAAGAAAACTCTTTAACCATTTTTCCTTCCTTGTCGCTGTTCTGTTGGAATTTTTGTTTTCTTCGAAATATGACCGGTTTTTATTTGATGACTATTTTACTAGGCCAATAATGCAAGCCTTGGCGGTCGAACAAGTTGATGTAGGATGGTGAGACATGTCGAATAGTATGAAATAAATGCTTCTTCTCTCCTTGTCAAATCGTCTTAGCGTCGCACTGTCTCGAAGCTCGCATGGACTTGGCCAGGGTGTAGGTGGCTGCCGTGAGCCGACCAGTCTGTCGCTCAATTCTTGAGGTCAACACCGGAAGACTTGGCCGAGGTCGGGTTGGCAGGGACGGCCATGGGCTGGCCGCGAGCCTTTGCGGTGAGAGTCATGAGCTCCTTGAGCATGAGTTCGCGCGTGGTACGAGTGAGCTCGTCGACATCGGCAGAAGTGAGATTCTTGGTGGGGATCGGGTCGAGGACTTGGCATGGCATGTTAGTAGACTATTTTGATAGCGAATTAAGGGGAATAAGGGGTTGAGCATACTCTTAATAGGTACAGTGCCGGCATTAAAGCGATACTCCTTGGGGTAGAGCAAGTGGCTGTAGTTGGCTACAACGCAGGGCACAATAGGAACGCCGGCCTGGACAGCAAGATGAAATGCGCCCTTCTTGAAGGGCAGCAGGGTGGGCTCCTTGCTGTAGCTACGAGTGCCCTCTGGGAACATGTAGACGCTCTGCTTGCGGGCCTTGATCTCGTCGGCGGCGCCCTGCATGGCCTGGCGAGCGTCCTTGCTGTTGGCGCGGTCGATGAAGATGGAGCCGGAGAGGGTCATGAACCATCCTAGGAATGGAATGTGCTTGAGGGAGCGCTTTCCGGTGACGCTGCAGTACTTGGGAAAGACGGCGCCGAGCATAAGGACGTCGAGCTCCGTCTGGTGGTTGCCGATGAAGACGGCGGGGCGGGTGGTGCCGAGGATGTTGGTGGGATCGTCGACCTCGAAGCTGGTACCGGTAGTGAGGCGGGCCGCGTAAAGAAAGGCGCGGGCCGTCGCCCACTGCGCAATGTTTTGCTGGCCGAGTAGGGTGAGGATGATGGAGGAGACGACGCCGAAGACGGCAGCACCGAAAAAGGTCATGTACATGGCAAGACAGCGGGCAAAGAAGCCCGCGCGGGGTACGATGAAGGACAGCATGAAGAGGGCGGACGTCAGTGCGCAGTATGCGACAAAGGCGGCGACGGTGTAGTAGAGGAATGCGTTCATGGTTGAGCTTGAGGGAGCCGGCTGGCGTCGCAAAAAATAGTCGAGCAGTAGGCGATCCTCGAAAGCCGTCCGAGGGTGTCTTGCGATGACTCAAAGTCTAACGATAATGCCGCTGATTATTTGTCGAGTAGACTGAGAGGCTCTCCGCATGGGGTGTTAAGCAATGCGTCGTCGGGCACGGAGGGGCGCAAGCGGAGAGGTGCCAGATCGGTGGGCAGAGAAGGCACAGGACGCACGGCACAAGACGGGTTGACCTTGTCAGCGGATCGATACCATGCGGCAGACTTGGATCGGATGCAGCTTTAATTGTCGAGAAAGTATGATGGCCGGAATGACGAGGGACGACGAGGGATGCAGAAGCACAGGAGTCAAAGCGAAGGTGAGGGTGTCACGAGAAAAAAGATGGTCGACGGATTGGAGATGCCCCGCGTGGCGGCAGCGTGGGGTCTATGGCGCGCTGAAAAAAGATGGTCAGAACAGCTGCGATTGGAGAGGCCAGCGCTATATTGGCCAAGCTAGGTAGCGATATGTCGGAATTGGACCCATCTTTGTTGAGATGCAAGCTGAAAACCTCGGCAGCATGACGGAGCATCATGATAGAGATAATGATAATAAAAGATATCAAGGGTCGGAGGCTGAGAACAAAGCAGCAATGTATTAGTTATTGGCAGTGCTCAATTTGGGGCAAACAGAAAGCTGCCAAACTTGGCCATATTCTTCAACATGTACTTTTCAGCCAGACAGGAAGGAGGCTGAACCTCCCCCAGAAGCATGTGCCAGGGAGCTTACTGGAAATCGGGACTGGCTTGAGGCACGTCCGGGCCTTTTCAGCGCTCCAAGCAACGTTCAGACGGCGCGCGCTGTGTCCACGAATGAATGCCCTGTAGAGCCCCGTAACTGGCCATTCATCGCTGCAACCACGAGTCGGCTTGCACGCTTGCACATGCCAACAGTGCCAGGTCGACTGATACCAATCTAATCTCCTTAATGCACATGCAGTTTTGTCATTGACGGCTGGTTTTTGCAACGCGCAGTCTCGACGTCATGTGAGCTCTAGAATATCCAAGAACAACTGCCCTAGGTAGTTTTCAATGTATTGACATGATTGACTGTCTGGAACTTGGCGTTGCGCATCTCTCTAATGCCTAGGTAGGTAGCAACTGAGGGCGGCCGCGACAAAACCGTGGTGCGCTAACATGTAGCGCCCTGGCCTGCAATTGGCAGAGTCTAGCACCTGGGGAGCAACGTTTTGAAGATATCGCCACAGATGTCTGATGAGAACAGTTTTTGTAAATTGCCCGTCATCTTTTACTGTATCCGGCGTTGTATCTCTCCAAAGCCGAAAAGATTCAAACTACATGGGATTGTAATCCTAGCTTTAGGTACTAAATCAGGCATCGCTATGTACCTTGCTTTGGTAGGTAGTCCAGCCACAGCACCCTTACCTTGGTACCTATGACTGCGCCACCTGTACACTGCTCCTGCAGCTCTTCCAGACGCAACTCAATCTCCAGCCTCAAGGCGTCTGTTTCCATCAGCACCCGCGCCGTCAACATCACATTGACTGTTCCCTTAGGAATTCACTCGCTCTCATTCGCCCTTGTTTCATCTTTCGAATTTCTACCCCTTCCCCCCGAACAGGAGCCGCAGCAACCACCCTCGCTTTTAGTATCATGCCGCGCCCTTCACGCCCATAACGACCAGCCACTGCCATCCCCGAGATCGTCTACCTCCCCGCCATGGCTTCCGCGCGACGCTCCGCGCAGCCTTCGGCCTCGACTTCGACCGTCGCCCTCTCCCCCGCCGCGCTTCCGCCCCTCTCCGCCCTCTTTCTCATCAACTTTGATGTCAAAGCCGGCTACACCATTGTCTGGAAGCGCGCCGACCCGGCCGTCGAGCTCGAGGGCCTTGTCGAGTACAAATCACTCCCCTCGGGCCTGCACACCGTTTCCGACGACCTCATCTACTTTGTCCACGATACTCAACATGCCGGCCTCAGTGCTTTTGTCAATGAGCCCACAGAAGAGGAGGAACTGCGCAACGCGCGCATGATAGCTGTCGGCATCCTCGTCCCGCTGAGCTACGGACGTCTGGGCCGAGCATGGAGACATGCTCAGAACCTCAAGGACATGGCAGCGTACGTCTGACTAAACAATGTCGCGCTATGTGATTCTCGGATAGGAATCTAATATGCTGTTAGGAAACTCGCCAAGGATGCATCACAAACGAAACTACTCGAACGATACTGGGAACAGCATCAGGCTCCCAATGACAGTGCCCCCAAATCACCCGTGCCTAGTCTGCCTACTTCGCCGATTCAGGACCGCCGAGGTCACAAGCGCAATAGGTCTGCCTCTGACGGCGCCGCTCTATCTTCTGGGCCTGCTGAGCACAAACTTTCTACATATCATCCGGCCTGGAGCCTGGCCACAATGCTCGACACATTTGGCCCTCTGGTCTTTCCCATATATCGCGCCGCCCTGCTTCGGAAGCGCATCCTGATTTCTTGTCACGCTCCGGTTCACAAGATGTGTGATTTTGGTACGTTATGTGACCACGCCATGTCATGACTTGTTGAGCCTCTGCTAATTCACTCAGTATATAATCTCTCCGTTCTGTCAAACATACCCCTCTCACTCGCCGATGATCTCCCTCCCTCTTCTGCTTCAACCCGTCTACGGCCTCTTTTCACAATCGGTGTACATGATATCCCCTTTTTGGTCCAAGACCACAAGGCCGCCAAGCGCCAGCGCCTGAACCCAGATGTCGACGACGAGTCCGGCTCTGGCTGGATCGCTTGCACCACCGACAGCATTCTCGCCGTCAAAGACACGCTCTGGGATATGCTCATCACCATGCCAACAGAGCATGTGACAAATGGGACGGCAAAGGTTTGGCCTGTGGTAGAATGCCCTCGCGGCACACCCGTCAAGGCTACTCAGCGTGATCTGAGACGATTCCATGCCCTGCGCTCCGGCCTCGCGCAGCTGGTCGCCATCGACGATCAGGATGCGCACCGACCAGATTCGCACGCCTCGGACCGATCCGCCGTCCGACTCTCAAGCAGTCACTCTGCCCGTCTGGTACGGGAAGACAGCGACGAATTCGTAGATGAGATTGTGGAGCCCCAGAGCTGGTCCGCCCTCGCCTACAATGGCTTCATGTGGTGGGCGAGCGCCGGCGAGCAGATTCGCTCCGAGGAACAGGAGGAGGCCGCCCGCGACGCCGCGCTGCTGGCGGACCTAGGCACCGGGCCCTCCATGCACGCGCCGCAGTCGCCCTCCCGCACCGACGCGGCGCTCACCGATTCAATTGCCTCGCTCGCGCGCCACGACGCGGCCGGGGACAGGGACGCCACCGTCGAGCTCGCCATCATTGCCTATTTCCACCGTCTGACCACGCAAATCGTCTCGGTTCTCGCTGACGTTGTCGAGAGCACTGACGAGGCCTACCCATCCGACGATCCCGCGCGGTACACTGACGACGACGACGACGATGACAACGAAGACGATCTCTTGCTACCTGGTAGCGACAGCATCCGAGACGTAACGGGCGCAGCGGACACGCCACAGGATGCGCTGGACAGGATCGAGGTCGACAGCCACGCCATGCAGAGCATGGGCCTCGACGTCTGGAGCGCGAGCGACGCCGCCTTTGTCAAGGACCTCGCCCAACGTTACTTTGCGCGCGAAGCGGTGATTGAAGCCAAGGGCGTCGAGGTGTGTGGTGTACGAGTTTGTTGAGTCTCTTTCCATTCAGGTTTGATCCTCTTTGTGTTATTATACCTTGTTTCCTTGTAACTAGGCAGGTTTATTTTCTCCTTTTTTCGTCTTTGACTGTATTCTTTTGTCCAGGAAGATTATAAGATGTTGCGTTGCATCGATAAAAAGTTCTTGGCTTGTGTGTCTGCGGGTGTTTTGTTTTCTCTTCTTTTCATCAGACTAGGCTTGAATATATATACATGATTACCAAAAGATGGTTTATACATTCACAGTCCTAGTTTTTATATTATCCACCGTGTCTTGGGAATGAAGAGTAGAATATTTGCCTCTTTTTGTCAACTTGACCGTCCCATCTACATCGTCTTCCCCGTAGGAAATGTCCACATGTTGCAGCAAAAACAACCCCAACATGAACAACGAAAAACAAATTCCTGCGTACTCGAAACAAAGCGATTGCGGGCAAAAAAAAAACAACAACAACAACGAAGATGACCATTCCTTCTACCTCGTCTACCCTCTTCAAACCCCACCACTCCTCGAGACACACACTCGCACACACATCTATGACTCGTCTTCCGTGTCCGTATTGGTGTCGCTCGTGTCGTCAGCGTCGTCGTCTGTGCCGCTCTCCTCATCCGAATCCTCGTCATCCTGCTGCTTCCTCCGTCTCGGTTGGGGCGCCTGTCCCGTCTTCATGGCGTGCATCTGGCCAGCAATGGAGTCTGCGGGGCAGTTAGCTTCTTGGTCATCTACGAATATTTGGCATGTTGAACACGTACCCTCTTCCGGCTCGGAAATTTCATCTTCAGCTTCCATCTGGGCCGCCTTGCTCGCCTCCTCGACGACGAGCGTCACCTCCATTTTGGTGTCGAAGCCGACGTACGAGTCGCAGACGAGGTGCATGACAAACGTGTAGTGGCCGGCCTGAGGCGGAGCTGCAAACTGCGCCTTGAGCGTCTGCATGGCAAACGTCGGCTTGCCATTGTCGTCGACAATGGGCTGGTCAAACTGGTCAAAGATAAAGGGCGGAACGGCCAGCTTGCCCTGCTTGGAGTCGCTGAGGAAGGCGTACCACTTGGGCGTGTGCTCGCGGGCGTAGTAGGGGGCGAATACGTGGGGCGGGGTGATGGTTTGCTCCTCGACCGAGACTGGCGCGCCGTCGGGGCCCTTGATTGTCTTCTTCTTGCGGCCCATGAGCGCCTCGAGGTCATCCTCGGCCGGGTCCACGTCCTCAAGATCCAGCTCATTGACGGGTGGCACCTGTTCCGTGCCAGGCGGGATGAAGCGGCCCTTGATTACGAGACTGACGAGTGACGACGGGATGATGCAGCGCTCACCGGTGACCTTGAAGAAGGCCTTGGCTACGCGCAGGTAAGGGATCTGCTTGCCGACGGCGACGCTTGTCTGGTATTGCTGCTCGGTGAGGCGGCCCTTGCCGACGGCGAGCTGGCGGCGCTGGGCGTCGGGAAGGTCCAGGAACTGCTGCACCGTCATGTGCGTCTTGGAGTCGCCCTCGACCGCCGTGGCGATCCTGGGAGTAAAGTGTGGGAGCTGGAGCAGCGGCGAGGCCTTGGGGGGGATGGCCTGGATCAGATGCTGGTTGGCGAGGAAGGAACCGGCAATGGGGCCAATGTTTCCGTAGGCGAGAGCAATGGCAGCAAAGGATTTGTTCAGAGTGCGGGCGATGGGAACAATTTCGTACATGGCCTTGGTCAGCGCGGGGTCGTCAAGCTCGACACGGCCGAGGTAGGCCCAGAGCAGGGCGAGCGCTTTGCGGCGCATGCCGTTGTCGAGGTCTTCGAGCTTCTGCTTGTCCTTGACGGCGAAACCAGCCGCAAAGGGCGAGGCCTCGCCGGGCGCGGTGATGCGCGCCTCAATCTTGGCGAGGCCTGACTCGGCGGCGTCGCCCTTGAGAACCTGCTCGTACTCCTTGCCAGCTGAGAGCGCGCCAATGATGCCGCCCTCGTCCATGTCTTCGTCGTACTGGCGGAAAAGGTTGTTGGCGCTCTCCATCAGCACGCCCTCCTTGGAGCGGCGCATCGTGCCGTACCACCAGGAGCCAACGAGGTACGGGAGGAGGATGCCGAGGAGGCCAGTGTAGAGGAGCACGAGGTACTTGCCGTTGCCGTCAGAGATGATCCACTGCGGCAGCGCGATGCCGATGCTGAAGCTCTGCTTGCCGTCGGGGTGGCCAAACTGGATGTAGTTGTTGCGGACGTCCTCGTCGGTGAGGGCTTGGTACGCCTTGGTGATCTCGACATAGTGGTCGTTGAGGGACTCGACCGTCTCGTTTTTGGCGGGGTCGGGGCGGACCTTGTCGGGGTGGAATTTGACGGATAGTTTTTTATAGTGAGATTTGATTTGTTTCTCGGTCGAAGACTGCGCAGGGGGGCAGGATATTAGCAATCATCACCGCCGCGTTGGTATCGTGCCACACGTACCTCTGAGATGTCGAGAATATCATAGGGATTCCAGATCTTGTTGACGACGGGCGTCGTCGTCATGATGAGGTAGGCCATGGCGCCCATGAGGGCCCAGCCGGCGAGCGCAACAATGGCGCGCTTGATCCGGCGCTGCTTGCGCTTCTGCGTGGCCCGCAGAGCGCCGACAACGTCGGCATGCTTGTGGCGGTAGTCGGTCTTGATGGCCTGCGCTTGCTTGCCGGCATCGCCATCGGAGCGGAGGAGCGAGTATGTCAGGGGGAGCGTGACGAGGCCGCTGAGAGTGAGGATGAAGAAGGGGAAGAACTGGGCCTAGAAGGGGGGGAAGGAGACGTTAGCACACGCAAGTCCGCTTTCGCAGAGCATGACCCGAGGCATCTGGCGGCCTTGCGGATCATGGGGCTTCTCTTCTCACCTCGTTATCGTATGAGTAGTCGGAACTCATGTTGGCGACTGCCGGCCAAAACTAGGCCAGGTGGGTTGTTGCTTCGGCGGAGACGTAGAAATGCTGCACGAGAAAAGGAAACGGTTCGCTGGCTGAGAGTATCCCAGGAATCGAGGAGTTGCTGGTCAATCCAGGAATGTCGCGGGGGAGGAGGAAAGAATGATGCGAGCCTCCTCTGTAAAGCTGACAAGAGAGAGACTGGGAAAATGCCTATTGAACAATGCGTCACCAAAGAAAGGACCCGAGGCCTTGTGTTCCCAAATTGAATGGTGTTAGTAGCGGTAACGTGGTGGTTCCAAGAAGGCCAGCTAAGTCGGGCGATCGGATTATCCGTGGCAGGTTATTTAGTAAGGTAGGTAGTGGCCCCCCACAATGCCGCCACCGTGTTCTTATTTTTACTCATCTGTGTATGGGCTTGGTGTGCGGGTGGCGTCAGCAGCGTGCCTGTGCCTGACCAATAATCTAGAATGGAAATAGCACTGGATCGATTTGCGCGGGCTGGTCTGGCAGAACATTTAATAAAAACGCTTGATAGACTCTATCGCCTTTCCTGGCATGCTTTGTGTCTGCTCATGCGTATATCCATTTCACATGCCTTTGTGAACAAAGCCCGCCTTTTGCCTTGTTCAGCTTAGTCCATTGCTGTTCATGACTCTAATATTGCTGTTGTAAAGAAAAATATCGCTACCCAATCCAGCGCCAAACCAGACACTGTATGTATGTATGCTTGATTAACCTGGGCGTCTATCAATGCAACAGAGGAAGAAGAAAGAAAAAAGCGAAAAAGAGACAAAAGGACCGTCAAGGATGGTATATTGCAACTGCATTAACGTACAGCTTTATGCCAATGAAGCCCGCGAATAGCGCCCTTCCTCAGCTTTTGATGCCTGCCTACTTCAACCTCTTCGTTTAACAAACAGTCCCCCATCATCCTCTGCCTTGTCGTCGTCCTCCACAAGAACCTCCTCCTCCAAATCCGTCGTCTCCTCCTCCGTCGTGCCTCCCGCGCCGCCCGACGTCATCATCTCGCCGACCAAGATGCTCCGCAAGTCATCCTCGCTCAGGATCCTCTCCAGGCTGCCCCTGCGCACCCACGGCCTCGACTCTGTGCGGCCCTGATCAATCAGCCGCTCGACCTTGAGCCGGTTGCCCACAAACAGCAGCGCCGGGAACGCGCCCTGCCGGCCCTCGTGCAGCATGCGCGCCAGCCGCGCCGGGTCCGGGTCCGAGAGGATGTGCCAGAAATCCGCCGCCACCGCCGCCGGCCAGATGGTGACGGTGCCGCTAAACTGCTGCAGCCACAGCTGGCTCCAGTCCTGGCCCAGCGGCCGCGGCAGCAGCTCCGCGTGCCGGATGAACCGCAGCCACTTGTTCATGTCGAGCTTGAGGTAGTGCTCCGTCGCCGACATGAGGAACCCGCCGCGCCAGCCGCGCCCTTTGCGGTGCGTCACCGGGTGGCCCACGCTGCCGCGCGACGAGAAGAAGAACAGATTGACGTGCGGATTCACCTGGCTGACAATGGTAAAGTTGACGTTGAAATGCGTATTGAGCGCCTTGATGGGAATGTCGGTCCGCAGGCTGCCGTCCTTCCACTTGTGCCCAAACGAGTACGGCGCCAGCGTCCCGTCTGCCTTCTTCATCATGAGCACCACCGGGTTCAGAATCCCCGGTACTGCCGCCGACGCCAGCACCGCCGACCAGATGACACAGTCGGGGCTCGTCAGGTAGTTGCACAGAATCGTCGGCGAATGAGGGTCCGCCGGCACGCAGCTCACGTTGAGGATGCGTCCCGTTCGCTCGTACGCCTCGCGAAACGTCAGGGACCCCCGCGTCCACCAGCTGCACTGCCTCGCCCACTGCACCGAGTCGAACCGCGCCCCCGTCTTCCACCAGCGCGGGAACCATGTCGCAATGCCCTCGGAGCAGGCGTTGATCTGCGAGGACAGTGCCGGCACGAGCAGCTGCTTCAGCTCCTCATTTGTTCGCGTGGCCACGAGGCCGGCAATAAGGGCGCCGCCGCTCGTGCCCGTGATGACGTCGGGAAGCAGGTCTGCATCCAGCAGCGCTCGAACGAGACCGAAGTGGTAGTATGCAAAGCTCGCACCGCCGGATAGGCAGAGCGCCGTCCTTCCAAAATTGGCCTGAATGTGCTTGAAGAGGACTCTCTTTTCTTCCAGCGCGAGTTGTTTCGTTTTGAGTAAAAACTTGAGACTTCTCTCCACTGTGCCGATCGCAAGCGTTAATCAAATGCAAGTTCATCGTAGGAAGAAGAACTTACCCTCGTCGATGAAATTTTGCACCAGATTCTTTGTTCCGTAATATGTCTGGCTGTACAACTTTGGATTGTCAATGCCCACAAAATTATTCTTGACACACGCCTCCGTGAGCGCCTTGAGCTCCTCCACCGCTCTGATCCCCTCACCACCTCCTTTACCCGTCCTGCCCGCCGCCGCCGCCACCGTATCCTTCTCCTCCGCTTCTGCCTTGGCCCTTGTCTTCTTCATCTGATCCCAGACGCGCTTAACCGTCTTGCTGTCATAATACGCAAAGTCATTCTCCTCGCGCCACGTGTCTCGGCCCAGGAAGGCGTCCAGCGCGCGCGCCGCCCGCACCCACTCGCGGTATGTCGTCGCTTTGCGCAGCTCCCGCCGCAGGCCCGCGCGCCGCCCCCGCCACGTGAAGAACTGCTCGTACACGACAATGTAGAAGCGCGTGAGCAGGTACAAGACGCTCAACACGAGCAGCCAGCCAAAGACAAACAGCAGCAACGGCCACTTGGCCAGCAGGTATAGGTACCCGTCACGCGTCTCGTCCTTGCTGCGCGTGCCCAGTAGGCCCTCAACGGCGCGTTTCGCCCGCCTGCGCTTCTTCTTGGACGCCGCCGCCGCTCCCGTCGTCGTCGGCTTGCGCTTGCTCCTGCGGTAGAACCGCGAGCTGATGGGTGCCCAGTCATTCTGTGCCGTCACAAATGTGCCATGGTCGCCCGGCGCCGGCGACGACGCTCGCGCGCCGCTGACTGTCACGTCATTCTTGAAGTCGCCATTCGCCGCGGCGGCGGCTGCTGCCGTCGCCAGCGCACTGCTGCCACTGCCGCTATCATCCTCAAGGCCTCCGCCCGCGCTCAGGCTTTGCGAGTCGCGCCGCGTAATGCTAAAGGAGCCGGGGCTCTTGGGCGAGCGCAGCCCGTCGTGCTGTGGGTTCTGCGCTGGGTTTTGCGCGGCGCTGTGGTCGGGTGCTTGCAGCGCCGTCTCAAACGCAGCAATGTCGTCGGGCGAAATGAATTCGCGGTCGCCGTCGAGGAGGCGCGAGACGTCAAACGCTTCGGGTGGGAAGCCGTAGTTGGGCGACAGCGGGGGTGAAGATGGTGGTTTTGCTGTTGTTGCTATGGTCGTCGTCGTCTTGGAGGGTGTCTTCTTAGCTCTGGGCTTTTCTCCGTCGTTGTTCAACATGGCTGTGTCGTTGATCCCACCGGACAAGACGAGACTTTCAAATCATGGCAGTTGTTAAGGATAAGGAAGACTATAGCGGAAAAGGCTATTGCAGAGACGTCTTGGATGCTGCTCAATGAAAAGGGCGTGAACGCTGTGATGAGAAAAAGTGTTGGAAAAGTCGGATAAAGGCTATATCGCAGCCCGAGCAATGTGGTGTAATGGCCGGATTGCCCTCCATGACGTCGGGTGACATAACTTTCTGTTGGGGGGGTTTCCGTGCTGGGCGGGTCCTTGTCGGGAGCCACACAGCGCCCGCAGCACGGTCAGCCGGCGCAACTTTTATGTGGCAACCTCGTCATCAATGAGACCTCGCCAGTATCTTCGTGGTATGAACAATCTTAAGTCTGCTCGTGGCATTTGTTACGGGCTTCAACTTCACAGGCAGCAGATGGGCAATACACATGCTGGCGCGGAAGAGTAATGGCTCCAGTATTAATATAGATTTTTACTACCAAACTTCGCCAAAGGGGAATGCTGAGTCTCATAAAACATTTCTTAATCACACAAATGGCTCTGTCTTTCCCTCGTTTTCCGTCCCCACTATCAGACGTACTGGGAGAGCCAGCGGATGCCGTCGCCGTAACCCTGGCGCATGACTACCGAGCACATGAATACCTCAATCGGGCGGATGCCCTCCAGAGGCACCTTGCCCTTGCCAGTCGTCTGGTACAGGCCGAGCTCGTGGCGGAGTCTGTCCTCGGGGACGGCGCTGGGGTGGTCGATCTTGTTGCCGAGGATGACAAAGGGAACCTTGGCGAGCTCCTCCATCGCGAGCAAGGCGTCGAGTTCGGCCTTGGCCTCAGCGAAGCGCTCCTCGTCCTTGGCGTCAACGAGGAACACGACGCCGTTTACCTCTGGGAAGTAGTCTCTCCAGATGCGGCGGGCTGTGGTCGTCGTAGCGCGCTGCGGTCAGCGTTTCTGTTGTGTAGCGATTGACGGTGGCCCGCGAGAAGGGGGGGCGCGGGATGGGATCGACGCGGAATCGTCAAGTCTTACCTTGAGGGTGACCACCCAGATCGAATGTGGTGAAGCGGACATTGCCAATAGCAAGCTCTTCCGAGGCTACGCACTCATTTATTAGTCCTATTTTCCCAGCTTCAGCGGCCGACGTCCGTGGCAACTCACTAGGATGGAGTGTGGGCTGCAGAACAGCGACACGGTCGTTCTAGAGAGATTCGTCATCAGCAAGCTTGATTTCCACAACACAGCTCGACATCGCTTCATCGAATGTGGTGCGCTCCCAATTCGCAGTCGCGCGGGCAGGCATCGATTCGGGATCAGGCAGAGGGCGGGCGTTATCGAACCTTTAGCATGTGCAGGAGCGTCGTCTTTCCAGCATTATCGAGACCGAGGAACAGAAGCTTAGCATGCTTGTTGAGCAAGCCAAGCGACGACAGGACGTCGTAGACTACATCATCGCCGCCGCACGTGTCAGTAAAAGCAAAACACCTAAAGGGGCATGGCGGACCAGGTAGGCCGACGGCCAAATATATGGGAGTGCTGTTGGCCGTGCAAGAAGGACGGAAAGACAGCAAGTGACATACACCAGTTCACGATCCACATGTTGAATTCGAGTCGGTCGGTAGTTTTAATAGGTGTTCTGTAAGATGTGGTGGCGGAGGGAGGTTGCTGGGTTCGAGATGGATACGTGGTAGCTCAGGATGGCTTAGGCAGGCTTTGGAGCATGTTGCCTCGGAAGAATAGCACGGATTATTTGGCTACTGGTTTTGCTGACTGCTTCAGGCCCTTGCAAGAGACCTAAAAACTGCTAAGCCGTAATAAGTAAACTAGTTAGGTAGGTCGGTAGTGGCGCTGCTGTCCGATTCGCCAAGTATTGTTGCCTAGCTTATCAGGCCACATAATCCAATGCCACCAAGAAACAGTCAATGTAATTCCATTATTGTGAGACGCTCTGAAATTCGACAAAGCTGATGAACACAATAATCATTTTGGCTCTTGAAAGAGCGAGTCTGTTCGCAGATAGAATTATAGTTCTATATACTCTCATATCGTTCGTGGGTGCCAAAGTCCAGTCTTTCGAATATGTTCCGATACTATTGGGCAAACATATGAGTGCCCAAGAAGACAAATAAGCCAGACAGTAAGAAAGCGAATAAGCTCGAGCGATATCCATGTTATGTACTGAGACTGTATGAAGAAGAAGAAGATATGTACAAATTGATCTCGCCAACGGCGCCCAGTATATAAAAGGTATGTGCGTGGAAATTGACATGAATAGAGAGAATAAGCAATAAAAGACGATAAGCAACCTGGTGTATGCGACATCCAGTTATCCAGCGCCATGCGATGCGGAGTGAAATGTGAAGACGGAACATAAGAAAAGTTGGCTTCTGTAAAAAGCCTATGAAACAATGTAAACGTAGGCAGATGTGCACCTAGACAGAGAGCACATAGTTACCGGGGTCCTTCTTACCCGCCATGAGCAAGCCGAGTTCCTTCATGCGCTCAGCTCCTTGGCCGGGTTGCGTCTTCCGCTCAGGGATCTGGCCACGCCGGGCCTTGTTGCAATATTTCTGATTGAACTTGTCCTTGCGCCTCTGACGCTTCTTTTCAAGACCTTTGACAATATCAACCGCACCACGAACGTGTATCTCATCATCCTGTCGTTTGGGCGCACGTTGTGCCTTCATGCGGAACAGAGCAGTAGGCCTCGGAAGCGACTTGGTATGTGTCACGTCAGGGCGTCCCGCAAGCCTGAACTGGGCAGGCTCGTCCTGATGAGGAGATTGAAGCGGTGTGGTGAGGGCACGAGGGGCAGGGGAACGCAAGCGACGGGGCGAACGACGATCGAAAAGAGGTTTGGGTGACCGAGCACGGATCTTAGGAGCTGGCGACAGGCGTCGCTTGGGCGGCGGGGAGTGATATTTGCGAGGCGACGCCTGCTCACTCTTCCTGCGGCGACGAGATCTGTCCTCGTCATGGATGCCATCCATCTTGGCCGGCATCCAAGAATCTTCTTCGCTGCCATTGCGACGATCATCATCGTCATCGTCGTGCTCGGGATCTGATGTTGGAAAACTAGGGTCGATGTCCTGAGGAATGATGCGCAGCTTTTCATTTCGGCGAGCAGCGAGGCAAGTCAAGTAAGCCTCTTCTATTGGTCGATCCTCATCTAAAGTGCCACACACGAAATCAGTGCTATCGGGCAAATCATGGGCGTCATGGTCCAGATGAATATTGCGAGGCTTGGAGCGTCGGGCGGCCTTGCGGCTGTGATTCGAGATGGTCGAGCAATCCGAGAGTTGGGAAGCAGCTGATGGGCGGCGGGCGAGGAGAGTGCTGGGAATGTTACTGACGACATTGCCGTGACTAGGAGTCCATAAAATCATATTCTCATCCTCTTCATCATCGTCAGAGTCAGCGAAGCCAGTTTCCTCGTCAGTGGAGTAGCCGTCGCAGTGATTGAGATCCACATCATCCTCGTCCTCAGCCTCTTCCTCGTCTTCATCGTCCTCATCCTCGTCTTCAACATCTAGGTCGTCCTCGTCATCCTCGTCGTCCTCATCCTGGGGGTCATTGTTCTTGTCTTCTTCTTCCTCCAAGAGAGCTTCCTCTTCGGCCTCATCAGCAAGACGTCGAAATCTGATTTCCTTGAGAAGAGTGTCATTGATGGTGAGCTTGGTCTGGATATTGGAATTGTTGTCCTGGCGGATCCAATCGTCTTCACGGGAGATGCCACTGGCAAACTCATGAAACTGAGAAGAGTCCTTGACAAGGTCCGTTGAGTTGGCGCGGAGAAATTTAGGCCTGCTGGCCTGAGGTATGTTGGAAAGACGTTGAACAGTAACTGGACTAGCAGCCAGGGCAGCCGAGAGAGCCGAGATCTTCTTTGGAGTGGACGGTGACTCGGCAACAGGACGTGATGTGGGTGCAAGAGTAGAATCTGAAGGTCTGGGGGGTGTTTGCTGAGTCTCTGCAGGGCGAGGCGGGCAGGCAAAGCGGATGCATGGGCGTCGGGGCTCCTGTGCCACGGTAACCTTTTCAGCGGCGACTGTGTTGGCAGCATTCGGTTGGGGCTTGGCGGCACAGGCAAATTGGATGCAGCGTTTGCGAGGGGCTTCCTTTGGCGTTTCCTGAACCTGTCCCTCAGTGGTTTGGCTATGCGCGATAGCATTGGGGCTAATGCGGAAACCATGACGGTTGAGGCGAAGCATGGCCATTTCAGGAATGGGCGGGCTGGGCGTGTTCGTGCGAGAAGGACTGGTCATGCCAGTGTCGCTGGTGAGGTCGGCAGTAGAGGCGATGCTGACAGTACTGGCCATGGAGCGACGACGCTGGCCGCCGGTGGTGAGGATAGAGCGCGGAGGCTCGCGAAAATCATCGTGGTCCTGCTCCTTGAATGCCTTTGTGAGGAGGGAAGGTTGCTCGGAAGGTCGGCGAATGGCAGATCTGTGAAACTGCTGAGGTTGAGGGTGGTGAAGTCTTAACTCGGGAGGCTCATCGAGGTCATCCTCTTCTGTTGTTTGGGTGGCCCAGGCGGGGGCCTGTATGGTTGTATCTGAGCAATTCATGACGTGTTTTGTAATGATGTATGATGTTCTAGAAAAGATGGTCGATCAACGACACAAGAAACCGCAGAAAGCGTCTTTGCTTGGTGTCAAAAAAGCGCGTAGTAGTAGTGCGCGTCAAGAGCGTATAGCTGGTAGCCGAGTAATTGCTGCGTTGGTGATGCGTAGAGCAGACGAGACTTGTATGCCAGTACAATGCCTCTACGAAGTTGAGAAAGAGTAGGTTGTTTTGTACAAGCGTTGGAAGTGTCCCTGAGGACGGTTGTGCTATAAAGCACAGACGGTCATCGTCAACGCAAAGGCCAGTAGGAGCAGTTGTGAGTTTTGTGAGAGTAGGCGAGCCAAGGTGTGATGACAAGGCAAAGTAGGAGGGCTAGGAATGACTCCTTCGGCCAGTCGCCAAGAGGATATTGAGATAATGTAGAGTAACTAGGCAATGGCCTGTGGTCGTGGTTGAGGGCAAAACGGTAAAGACAAAAGTCTTGGCGGCAGGTGAAATGACGTTGAGCGCGGACCGTTACAGCAGTGGCGAGAGGAGCGCGCGGGAGCCGGGATGGGTCGGTGAGGATGGTATTCACTGACTCCGTTGGTGGCTATGGGTGGTGGGCAAGAGGGGATTCTGGTTGCGCCTTGTAGGTGGGAGCAGGCTGAGACTGGTGGTGGGCTTGCTGCTGCTTGCAGGCGGGCCCCGAACCGGCAAAGGTTAAATCGATCTTGTGTGAGTGGCCTTGGCAGGGAGATGCAGAAGAGGTAGCGAGAGAGGATGCAGTCGTAGCGGACGAACCGTAAGGCGAAGGATGGAAAGATGTTGTTGGAGGATTATTGAGGTGTGAAGGTGAAGGAGAAGGAAGGGGGAAAAAAGAGACGACGAAGAGGCAAACGGCCAGGGAAGTAAGAGGGCGAGTCGAGAAGCGGGACGAGCATGGCAAATGTATGCTAGGCCCGGAGGATATATTGGCTGCGGGCAGCTGGCAGGCGACGGACTCGCAGGCTGGCGACAGGGCTGGTGGGCACCCAGGCAGATGGCAGGTTCCAGGTTCCAGTTGTTGGGTGTGTGCAGTTGTGGGCTGCGAGCTGGTGGATGCTTCCTAGCGCGGTAGTATAGGGGAAAAAATGAAGAGGGGAGAGTAAAAAAAAAAAATGCTTGATGATTTGTGATGGTAGCAGTATACCTGCATTGGCGGTAGTGGACTCACGAAAAGGCGAGGTACTGCCAGTACTGACTGGTACGCTGGTAAATATTACGCGGGACTGTTTCGGTGGGCGGGTGGCACCACGCAAAGCACCACTGAGAGAAAAAAGTGTACATGTCGCGGTGACCGCCACTGGCCAGATGCCCGTTTGGGCTTGGCTGGAACAAACAGACCACAGTGCGAAATTGTTAGGGGGCAGTGCCTGCACTGCCGCTAGGGGGAAGCCGGGCACTGCTTTGATCTCATTATTTAGTGCTTGTTTTTCGAGGCCCAGGCCTGCTATAAATTTTCAAGGAGCGAGTCAAGTTGCTGACTGCGCCAGCCGAGGCTTGAAGCACTGACTGGTGTATTATCAATGCATCAGTAGCAGTGAATAGAACCATCTCTAATAAGCTTTGCATCTATGCATCTTTGCGAATAATGAGTAATGACTAATGCATGTCTGATTATTTTCTCTTTTCTCTTCTTTCTTGGATTATATGATTCACTGCCTATTGTTGCTGGGCACACCGCGGGTCATATACTGGTCCACAGCAGTAATACTTCAGCGGGCGACACCGCTACGATGCGCTGCGCCTCAGGTGGGCGGTGTCAACCTTGCCTCGCCTCACAGCGACACGTCTTCATGCCAACTGGAAGAAAAAAACACTTGCCAGAGACAGTTCGTTTGAGAAATGCGCTGTCGAGTCTTTCATCACCTGCTTTCAGAACTTGGTACTGCGACTGCCGGCAACTGAATTTTAAATTTAATTTTTTTTTCGTCTCTCTGACCAGCTACCGGTCGGCCAACCTTGTGCTGGAGGTAGCCCATTACACTGTGCGCAGCACCGTACGGCCTAGGAGCAAACAGCACCACTAAAACAAACAAAAAATTGGGCATCCCACAGCGGGCTTTTCCAGAGGGAAATGCCTCACTGCACGTGCAGTAAGCCCGCTTTCGGTGGCCCGAGGCTGCCCGGACTTGCTGCCTTGCCACGAATCGCACTGTACGGCCAAGGGCAAAAAGAACCTTTTCTTTTCCCCTCCTCCACTGTAAACATCATCCTACAAACCGCTCTGTGCGACCACGGAACCACGGGTAACTCTTTTAGGCCTGGCGGAGCAATTGTGTACAACAGACGACTCACCGCCCGTTACGAATACTTTTATCCTTAATGTTAATTCTTTCGCTATTGCGTGCCCTTGCACCGAAAATCGCCTAGACCATCCAGAAAAGCCTCTTTAGTTTTTTGGCCCCGTCGCCGTTCGTGCCGCTCGAGATGCCTCGGTGTTTGGCCCACTGGTTGGGGCCCGTCATTTCCAATTCCTGCTTCATTATTAGCCAGCCCGCCAGCCCGCCAGCCCTCCAGCCCTCGGGTTCCTGCGCAACACGAACATTAATTATGCCAACAGCGTGCGTGCTATGTAACAGGCCCGTGTCCCGTGTAAATTATTGCTATTAGGATTTTTTTATCCCCCATATTACGATGACGGTCATCTCCTCAAATCCTTTCCCTCTTGCTTCTCAACCTTGGCCACCGGTCTGGTCGTATTACGCATATCTTATTCTTACAGGGCAAAAGGCGTGAAGCTTGTCCCATTCCGCGCGTGTGTGAGACGGTGAGACAGGCTTGACAGCTTGGCACGCTTGGTCAGAGCCGAATCTCACGCTAAGCCCAGAGGTGAGACACCACGAAGCTGCAGAATCCCATTGTGACGAGTAAGACGCACTTGAGCCAATAACACTCTGCAAGGTCCCATAACAATGCTCCGGTGGTTGCACTAGTTGGCCATCAACAGATTGCCATATAATTGTTCCCCGGTGGCAAGATCGGCGCTTGCCCTGCACAAAGTATCCGGTACTGAGTTGTTGGCAACAACAAAGAAGAAGTAAGTCTCTGGCCATGTGCCTCCGCAAAAGGATGAGGCAAATGCAATCCAAGGGTCCTCCTGATCCTCGGTCTTCATCCCCTTTCATACCAGATGCCCGCATTGCGCACGGAATTGTCCAATGGCAGCTACTCCGACACGCTATCACCGCACGCCACGACACGCTAAATACAGTTGTGCAACACCACCTACGTAGCCATGCAACATGCAGCCGTGTAGCCTCGGTGCCTCGTAACTCATCTTTTTCCTACGATCCCCCGGCCCGTCTACGTTGGACGCGATTCGTCTCAAATGTCACCATCCTGACGGTTGACTTGTCAAAAAGTTCTCGCGACAATGAACAGTTGGCCGAAACGGTACATGCCGTTGTTTGCCTCGTCATTGGTGGCAGATTTCTCGACGAGTACCGGGTACCAGCCTTTTCTTTGTTTCTCGAGCACAGAACAAGGAGCCGTTTTGCGCTGCGTGCCAGCTTATGCACCTCCGCCTCGAACTCCCTCAACAGGCTAGACCTCAGAGCTAGCATGACGACACATGAGCATCTGATGCCACCTTTCCGTGGACGGGCAAACTGGAAGGAGCCGCTGGTGTTTCATTTTCAACACGCATCATAATAACAATAAGCTTTCTTACGGCATCAGCCGAGAGAGTTGGCATGTTTGCACCTGAAATCTAGTCACCATTCGATGTGGGAGATTTACCTCGAACCTTGTTGTATTCGGTCCCAATATCGAATTGCACATTATCGGTGAACTGTCAACGCCACCTTTTAGCAATAACAAGATGCAGTGCGAGACCCTGGCAACAGTATGTCTCTCCTTTGCATCTCTATCCATGCCCATCGACTCCGTCTGTACGGAGTCCAGATTGGCCTCGTTTGATTGCGCAGGTGGCAGGCTACAACGCGATCGTTGGCAAGACTAGAACCAATGGCAATGCTCTACATGCTAGGTACTTGGATTTTGGTGGGCCATCCCAGTACTTCTTTTCATGAGATACCACAGTTAGCCGTGATATGTCTCAGACATCGAAGCAAGCTTAATATCAAGGTGAAAGGCGTGAGCCCCTTTTTTGATTCGGCTCGACTAATAAAGTTTTGGAAACATGTCCCAAGAAAGAAGCAATGTCACTTGACGTCGACGGGCGAAAACATGATGGAGACTCGGTCATGATGGAGATTGCCCCGTAGCGGATGAGGTGCGTGGCACCATGCAGCGCGGTTGCTTGATGTGGCAGTTTTCGGGAGACTGATCCATCCACAACAAGAAGAAAGTTGTCATTCGTAACTGAGTGAGGCGGGAAGTGTTGTGGTGTGAGGGCTGCAACAAGGGTCTCACGACGTCACTCCAGCGGTGAACAAGGTTCGTCGGAAAGAGGGGTGCGCCGCCAGGAAAAGCCAGCGAATCCCAAACACGAATTTGCGATGGAGAAAAAACAGTGAAAAATCAGTGAGAGACAAATAAAAGGGATAAAAGAGGGGAAAGAGTTTGCCAAGCTCGATCTGACAGTTTGGGCGTTTTTTCGAGTGCCGCTAGCAGGAATAAATAGGGAGGGTCAATAGGGAGCGGGTTTTTATTATGGAAAGAGAAGCCCTAAACATCCGATGCTGGTGTAGAATGCTCGTTGAATTTGACCGAATGGTGCATGATTTTCCGTCATACTGGGTAGAGAGCGAGTCCGGCTGAATACTGCCACGTCTGACAATTTGGGTAGTATTGGTCTTGGCTGGCTGGTAGCCTGCTACATGAAGACCTGCTCACCTGACTATACCACGCAATTCTTTTGGACAATTCTTTTTCTTCTCGCAGTGTGAGCAAAACAGCAGGACATGGATTACGATGACTTTGCATCATGACTCTGCATAACTCGTAATAATCCATAGTTGCCCAGAATGTCAAGGCGGCTCTCCCGCAAGCTACCCTTTTTTTGTCCCTCCTCGGCTCTGGAAATGCCCATTGAATTACTCGGCGATTGTTCTTGGCGGCATTTCTTGGCAGCATGACATTTGCAGCCAAAAAAAAAAAAAATTAGTCAACTATATTGTGCAACCCCAAGCAAGGTGAAGGAAGGCTTGACGATAGGTAATGATATCGGTGAGACATGTACCGAATCACCCAACACGTCCCGTTTCCCCGCACTGTGCGCTGCTCATCCTTCATTTTCATCAACGACGCGTCTTTTATTGAAAAGAACCGAGCGAACCGCATGCAAAAATGTCGTGCTAACCTATTCGAGTCCTCTGTGTACGATGAAACAAATTTCCGAGTGGATATCATTTGACTAGTTAGTTACCTAGTCTTTGCTCTTTTGGATGCGTCTTTTTCTTGCATCGGCCGAGCCCTCCTCGGTCTGGGCCACAATCTAACTAACTAACAGTAACTAGAGCCCGGTTAAACAAAAATGGTAACTTGTTTTTTTTTTTGTGTTCTGCCCATGGTTGTCAGTAATAAAGCCTCGAAGCTACAGCGAAGCTTTATCAACGATACGGACGCATACTTGCCTGATGCAGCATCCAGCCAATCAAAATCGTCAGGGCGAGACATTAGCAGTCACCAGTGTACTGGCACCCTCGGCAGGCAATTCAATAAATACAGTGGCTTGTCGCTAGTGGTCTGGCCTGTTTGAACATATATTCCCCGACCGAGTGGCCAGTTGACTGTTTCGCTGCCGCTTCCCGCGCTACACTTTCTTCTCTCTTGCGTATTTTTTTTTTCTTAACTAGCGTGTCAGTCCCGAGTTCCCGGTTCATGTTTCTGGCGTCGCATTTTGAAGGATTGGCTTTTCATCGCACGGCAGTGTAACAGCTAGTCTAGTCCATCAATCCCATCAATCCCGAAGAGAAAAAAACCTTCGTCCTTCCTTCTTTACTTTTGGCGAGTAGTTTACCTGCAATACTGAGATGCTACGCGAGGCAGGTCTAGACCTGATGTGACGAGTCTTGGTGTCATTACTTGCTGCTCCGGCCAGCGCTTCTCAAAAACAGCAAAAAAGAGCTCATGCGCGAATCGTGGCTTACACCAGCAAATCGACCCAAGTATCCCACTAATGCACTACCCGCATGCACCGCTACCAGTTGTCGTTTGCTATTCGCCAATCCTGTCTCTTGCAAGCCCATCCTGCACTAAGCAGGTCTCAGGCCGCTGCGCGTCTGTTGGTGGTGCGTAGCCACGCAGCCTCTTATGCACACATGGTAGCTGAAGACCCTTTGGTGCAGTTGGCAAGCACGCAAGTTGGTGGTTGGCCTGCAGCTTTGCAACAGCTTTCTTGCCTAACTCGTCTCAGAAACGGTCAGCCCGTTGTTGAACCGCTCCTCGGGGAACTTTGCATCGCTGCTCCGTCTCCGCCACAAAGCCACGATATGCATACCAGTACGGGCAAAAGAGACAAGTGATCAACTGATACTCATGCGCCGTACAGACGACTGGCCAGTGGCAGTCATTGCTGGCTCGTAATTCGTGACTTGCGTAGCAAAAGCTCCAGGGCGCATTCCAGGACCGTCCACGCGTTGTCCTTTCTTGGCTCTATCAGGTCAGATGGACAAAAGTCCGCTCTCCCAATACTCACTCCCATGTCCTCATGTCCCGTCTTGGATGGCTGTTTTCCCCTCCTCCGCCCCTCCTTCTTCGCGATTGCCGGGGCGGCATCGCTCTTCTTTCCTCCCTCCATTCCCAATATCAGCAGCGCCAGCCAGCCCATTCCATGCGCTGTCACGCTGCTGTGCAACCTCAGCTGTGGTGAGCGGCGCAGCCGAGGCCCTCTGCCAGTAAAATGCAGTGACGCAGCCTCAACGCCGCCGCCGTCAATAGACCCATGGCGACGGCCGGACATTCTTCTTGCGCCTTCTGTTATTTTTGTGCCACTCAATGCAACGCCTGCGACTGCCAATCCGCTTTCACACACTCGCTCGCCATCTGTAGACACTCTACCCTCGGATTTCGTCGAGTTTTGCAGAGAAACCTCCATCGCCAAGCTCAATGGCGGGCCTGCCAGCGTGTCGCCTTGTCACTGAGGTATCGATCCATGATCGACTCTGCTCTCCAGGATAATGATAGTAATAATTATAATTATGATGATTATGATGATGATGATGATGATGATGATGATGAGCCCAGTTTCAGCGACAAAGTCTCCCGGACGAGTATCGCGTCTGGCCCTTTGTGGCCTGCTCTTGATATCGGTCTCTTATCCTAGTGATCCCGAGGGATACTATAAGATAGCGAGGTGGGAAAAATGTGTAAGCATGTTGACGAGACTCAGGCTATCAAGAAGGGCGTGGAGAGCAAGGTTATAATTCTAAATTTAGAATAGGGATCTGTCACACGCGGCGTTTGTCCTGTCTGTGGCGGATGTCTTTCACGTCCGTCCTACACCCGTCCTACACACGTGCAATACACTTAGCCATAGAATATACGAAAGAAGATTTATTCATTCTGAATTATACGTTCTTAAGGGATCATATTATTGCGCAATGACTCAGTTGCAGGAACGAAAAGCGCACCACGATCGCAATCGTGTTGAAAACAAGAGCTTCATCTAAAAAAGCTGACTAGGCTGCACTGACCGGTCAATCGTACTGCTCTACCAGGTACACTCAACCTCGGCCGACGGCCATGCCTGCCACTTTTCACGGGCGCAAACGTATTGATGGTCAATAGAGTAGCAAGTTTTGGAGCCATTGCCGTCGATCCAGTGCCCGCGGCGGCTGCGCCAGTCGAGGCACACGCGATGACTCACGCCACAGGCGGTTACGACAGCACATCCGTCCTCTGAGGAAACATGCGTGGAGCAGCCACAGTGAACTCTCCATCTGAGCTTGTAGTTCCAGCTGAAGGTCGACTTCTCGCTCAGCAGATCGAGGCCGAACCGGCTGTCAGGGCATTGGCCCTGCTCACAGGCCGCCTGCGGCTCCATTACGGCTCTAGGATGCTGCTGCTCGAGGGGCGAGGTCAGGACCTGCACGACAAGGAGTACGAGTCCAACAACGGTTTTGCACGATTCAGTCTTCATCTCGGAAGGTTTGATGTTTGCACCGCGGCTGCTGAGAAGTGAAGAGTGTTAGAACAAGATACAGCGTGTGGGTAGAAGGAGAGGAACATGAACTGACAGTGAAAGGTCAGAAGAGATCTTGTCACTTGACAGAATGATATTGAGATGGTGTTTCTTTTCTGGCACTTCCTGGCATTTGCGGCGCACTCTGGCCCTATAAATATTCCATCTGTCTTTTGGAGTACAAGTGGTGCCGCTTTTGCTTCATTGCAGAGCTTGCCTCGATATTTTTGTGAGGCTGTGGTGTGTGAATGACGTGGAAAGGCAACCCGCCAGAGCTGAGATCAAGATGAGTATATTCTTTGATGGCAAGCCAAATGATGTTTGATGTTTCTCAGCCAGACGATGGCATAGTGCCATAAAAGGCACCTACACGCATAACTTTGGCTGAATATTCGGCCGATCATATGCAAGGGGGTACAATAAGGCTGTGCTTGTTGTTGAGCCAACCCATGCATGATACGAGTTGGCAACTCTATCTTCCCTCTCTATCGTGAAACATCGGCGCTCATCTGGTCAGATCTCGATTTATCTAGCGGTGGGTTGTGAAGCGCTGAGTCGATGTCTTGGCGTGCCACGACACAACTCATCGCTCGTATGGAGGATTTGAAAGACGAAAGGCGCTCAAGCGCACTCGCTGCCTCTGTAGGTCAACGAGTTGCATCGCCCGATATATGCATGTTTAAGAAGTTACTGCACTGAGTTCCGCAGACTCTTCGTTCCTTCTAGCACCGGCTCGGATTGACCTACGTTGTTGAATTCTTGTCTCAAAGCTGCGACTGCGCATCTAACTACTGAATGGCAGTACGAGTGCTTAACTCCAGGGTTTATGTGCTGGACGTACCAGCTGCGCTTTACCCCAACAACACGCGCAGTAGGTCTTTGCCTGAACAAATTGTTGGCTCTCATGAACCAGAAATGCACAAAACACAGGAAACCGTCATTTTACCGGGTCAGGTAAACTAATGCGCGAGAAGCTCGACGTGTCGGGCAACTAACTTCTAGGGTAGGTGGCTCACGGCAAGCCAGAGCAAGTAGGAAGATGCTTGGCCTGAGGCCGGGGAGACCACACCCGAGGTTCACACGATATGATGCAAGATGAAATACTACAACGAGCCTTGCATGCCTTGTGCTGAAAAGGAATGACGGCAGCGTCGAGTGCAAGCTTGGCGCGGTCTCCGCGAAACATGTCAAGTCACGTGCCTTTTCATGTGACCTGGAGCCGGAACATCCCGCTAGCCGATTTGTTCGCTCTGCTCTGGCCAAGATTCATGCCCACGACCTCATCGAGTACCTCATCCTCTCGATCCCAATCATCCCGCCAGCCCCTCATGAACTCCCTTCGCATTGCCCGCGCGGCCATTCGTGCTCGCCCCGTTGCCATGCGCATGGCCAACCAGCGCAGAGGCTACGCCGAGGCCATCCCCGACAAGGTGCGAACGCATCCCCCGTTACTGTGCTCGTACATCAAGGCTAACTTGCGAACAGATCAAGCTGAGCTTGTCTCTGCCTCATCAGGTATGATTTACCTTTCTGGAATCGCCGCCGAAACACAATACGAATCGATTGAGCCATTTTTGCGACCCAATTGCGAGCGCCGAAACTGTTTTGGCCGGTCGTCTCGGAGCGCCGTCGTCGTGCGAGAATTACAGCAACGCATGCTAATTACCTCAACCAGACCATCTTCAAGTCGCAAAACGTCGTCCAGGTCAACCTTCCTGCTGAGTCTGGTGAAATGGGTGTACTTGCCAACCACGCTCCTTCCATTGAGCAGCTTAAGCCTGGTGTCGTCGAGGTCGTCGAGGAGAGCGGTAGCACCAAGTCCTTCTTCCGTATGTCCAGTTCTCCGTAAAATTACAACTCAATTTGACGGCACTATATCATCACAACAGCCAACAAGCAAAAATCTCGCGATACAAGATGGCTAATTTGCACTAGTTTCCGGAGGTTTCGCCACGGTCCAGCCCGACTCTGCCCTCAGCATCAACGCCCCCGAGGCATACCCCCTCGAGGATTTCAGCGCCGAGGCCATCCGCAACCAGATTTCCGAGGCCCAAAAGATTGCCAGCGGTAGCGGTAGCGAACAGGATATTGCCGAGGCTAAGATTGAGCTCGAGGTACGTGCTTTCAGAACCACCATGCGCGGTCTCGTTGCGACTCGGAAAGCGCACATCATCTACCAACTGGATACTAACACAGTGACTGCAGGTTCTTGAGACCCTCCAGGCCCATGTGAAATAGACTACTGGTTGTATTGGCGGAGGCCTATCTGTACATCATATTCCAACGCATTAGCGCATTGCGAGACAATTCATACTGTCGCGGTGCCATCCAATGTTGACTTGAAATCCCTTTTCCCCACCCTTACCTATCTGCTATAGTGATTGTCTGTAAGGTTTCTGTGGCTACTACTATGCTGCGTCGCTCTTGCGTTGCTGCCACCCCTCCTTCTTTCCCTTTGGCTAATCACTCGTGCCTCATGTTTGTCCAAATCAAGCGGCGTACCTTGCTGATGCCTTTTAAGCCCTCTAATCCAGCGTCAACAGGCAGTTATTGTTACTCGCATGAATATGAAGAGCATGGAGTCGCTAAACGCGCGTCAAGAGGAAGCGGCAGCAGAAAGACAAAAGGTTGGCATTGGAAGACGGCGGCCCACCATCCCGATCGGAATCGTCACCACGAGGTTAGGACAGTTGAAGACACTTACGGACGACAACGGAAGCATCGTTCGGTACAACCATGGCAACAATTCGCGTCAGGGTGGGGACGGCAAAAGCAAGGATGGCTTCGTGATACCTGCATCGCGCAGCACAGTCTTCCTGCATTCTACTCCTCCTCAATCTCGGGACAAAGTCGACAGCTCGCTTGGTACTGACCACTTGCTAATGGGGAGGCAGACAAGCCACTTGAGATCCATGCTCGGGCCAAGAGCATCCAAGAGTTATGATGTTCTCAACAGTCTCTCGGCAGCTGCGGCGATTGAACTGCCAAGCCGACCCTTCCATGACACAGTGCTAAGCCCGACATCGCGTCAGGATGAAGCTGCACGACCAATGTCACATGGGGAGTATGCGAGTTATTGGGTCGACGGTGACGGAGTGCAAAACGAGTCCTCACGAGCACATGTATGCCATTCCTGTGGCGAGTAGATCTCGTTCGAAGCGCCCTGCGACTCCTGTGGCCATACCTTCTGTCCAAGGTGCACTGCTGACACCGAAGAGGACTCGGATACTTCGCAAACGCCGACTGGAGATTCTGAAGCGCCAGTTTCTTCAACTGCTCCGCAGCAGCCCAGTTATCGGTCCAATGACCGACGAACCAACCTCGATGACGGAAGCTACTCACGGAGCAATGAAAGTCACAATCAACCAACTTCCTCCAGTTCTCAGTCTGTCCCTCGGGCCAAGACCCTTCCCAGTCTCTCTCTCAAGCAGCATGCGCGCCGCTGCATTTGCTGCATTGCCAGACAGCCCACCACGAGAAGGCAAACAGAAGCAGCGGTTTCGGGTGCCCATGTAGAATCATATTCATCATCACACAGTGAAAGCTCCACCGCGACACGTGTTACCATTGTTTCTAATATGAGATCACCGGAAAACTTGGCTGCCGAAGAGGACTTGCGGCCTGCAGCTCTTCAACCACGCCGGAGCAAAGAAACGATGGACGCCATTTCAGTCAAGACCAGGTCTTCTGACCCATACGCAGGACACCGTCTTATGCGACCACACCCTCACCAGCCATTACCAGAAATCGAGAGTTGGCCGAAGCTTCGCCAAGTTCCAGAGTCATCGAATAATAAGCCAAACAAAGAAGGCGATGAAACGCCATGGGGAAGGGATGTCCTGCGAAAGGTGTCGAAGCCGGCCGTGGGGAAGTCTGAGGTTTACCGAAAGCCCATAGCGAAACCAGAGTGGGTTGCAAATCTCAAGAAAGTGAAGAGACAAAGCACCATGCAAATCTCACCTAACGAGAATCGAGGGCAGCCACAAACACTCAGCTCGACACTAAATAGATCAGAACAAGATCGTGTCTACTGCGATGGGAACAGATCCATATCAGCGAGACCGAGCGAAAGGGTTGCGTCATCAATTTATGATCAGCCTCTTTCACAACGTGACTACATCCAAACATTGAAAAAGAGCCCGAGTTTAGGTTCGCGAACATCTCGAGGTAGTCTGAAGCAAGTCGAGAGCTCATTGACAAGAGACTCTTGCGTTTGCGAGACCAGAAATCCAGGAAGACTGAAACAGCGGCATCAAGCTGACGCAGCAGCTTCAAATAGACTTAGAGCTACGACACTGCCGCCAAAAGACAGCAGACCCCCGAGCATCATGAAAGTGCCGGGAGGAGGGAAGCCTCGTGACAAACACTCCTGCCACTGGAGAGACAGATTCATGGATCTCAGTGCCGAAGTTGATCAACTGCGCTCTGAACTGGACACCTGCGACCCTAGCGAGACAGATATGGAGCGAGAACATGAATGCGAGGATGCTGGTATAGATGGACTGACAGTAGTTGTCCATTTGAAGGGACGACACGATTTGGTTATCAACACGGACTTGCGTACTACATGAGCGGTCTTGATGGCACTGCCTTGACTGTCCGAGGCGGCGGCGAGCACAAATTAATGAACACAAGTAGCAGAAAGAGTACAAGACGTTAGGGACTAGAGAACAATTTGAAAAGTATCCGTCGAGCGAGAAGCCGAAGATATTGCTCAGGAGCAAAAAAAGTGTGATCCCGCCCGGGCTTGAACCGGGGACCTTCTCGGTGTTAACGAGATGCCATAACCAACTAGACCACGGGATCTGAATGCTTGGATTCTTATTCGATGAAGATTGGCGTGCGGTATTTGCTCTAAGAAGGTTGTGGAAGTTTTTATGGAGACACAGCGGGCGAGCGCCTGGCTCTGGTTTGTGTGCGCCCTGATGAGCTGCTAATAGTCTGGCAAGTTTTCCTCCCGTTTGCTTCTTGCTCTGGGGGGGAGAAGGGAAGGGAAGGGGGGGGGGTTCCGAATTTGCTTCTTCTCCCCCAACCCGTCCTCCATCAAACTTGACGCTTGCTGTGCGGTGCATGCATGCCTACATTGCATGGAGGGGAAAGAAAGCAAGCAAGCGGGCTGGGCTACTTATCCAGCAAGTTTGTCGAGACAACCACACACATCCACACACACATACACATACACATACACGTATCAGTACGTACATACATACATACATACACACGTACACGCAATTTTTTGGTTTCATGTCGTAGCGTCGGCAGATGAGACAAAAGTAAAAAAAAAAAAAAGAAGCAAAGCAAGAAAAAAAAA